GAGAGAGAACTGAGCTATGGAGAGGGATAATTTCATGAAGCTCTTCGGTCACATTGTTTGGCGTCATTCCGATTCATCTCCCGTCGTCGATGAGAAGCCGCCGGCGCCGGAATTGCTTACTTCAAATGTCATCCAAAAGAGTAATTTTCACCCTGCTAATGTCGATCCTTCCAGCTCCAGAAACACCGACCATTCCCTAACCACAATTCACAATCCAAATCCTATACGGGTTTTACATCCTGAATTAGGAATTATTCCATGGGAGGAATTCACAGTGGCCGGAAAAGTGAAAGACGGCAATGTCGTTTCTGATATAACTTCTGAGCAGGGGTTTAATCCTCAATCTGAATCTGAATTTGAATATGGCGTGTCTTCTTCTCCATCTGGAATTAAAATCCCCACTCCTACGCCGTCAGTTTCTGAAGAAGGTAAAAAACTGAAGAAGAAGAAGAAGAAGAAAAGGTCGATTTCTGATCTAAATCCAGCACCAGTAAAGCGACAACGACAACAGCGTCGCAACAAGAAGAATGACGACGCCGGACATATTCCGGCGACTCCGGCGTGGGTGACGGTTGCCGCAGCGGAAGTGCCGGTGATGTTCTTGTATTCGAAGAGGTTGACTGCGTCGGATGTCAATCCGTCGCAAAGCAGGTTGTTTGTGACGAGGAGCGAAAGACTTATGGGGTTTCTGACGGCAGAGGAGAGGACGGCTATGGCAGGAAAAGAGGGGGCCCGAGTGGTGGGAATCGACTCCGACGGAACTGAATACAAACTTGGCGTTGGGAGCTGGGCGAGCTTGAATGTGGTGGTCATCAAAACGCAGTGGAAGGATTTGATTTTGAAGAAGAGCGTTGGGGAAGACGATGTGGTTGATATTTGGGGATATCGACCCCATGGGCAAAGGAAGTCCCGACTCGCCGTTAGCTTCAGGCGGGCCGAATAATATATATATATAATGGTGAATGGTGATGCCTAATTTCTTCGTCTTTGATTTGATCGATCGATCGGTTCATACGCATGATTTTGATAGTAGAGTAGTAAGTACAGTGCAAGAATATTAGGGTTAGGGTTCGTCTTTAATTTGTTTTTAGGGTAGGGAAGGTGAAGGGAGTTAGTTGTCTGTAGTATGACTTTTATGAATCTAAATTGTTCTGAATGTATTTGTTTTGGGTGTGTTTTGATTGGTAATTTGAATTTTGGGTTTAAGTTAAGAAATTTTAAATTTTATGATTTGATATAAATTTGGATTCTAGTGATGTTTTGTATCTATAATTAAATTTTAATAAAATATGAAGTAATAAAAATAATATATTCCATCCATCAGTCCAAGAGCTATAGTTTTAATTGAGTTCGGTGCAGGATTTAAAGAATATTGATATTATATTGGTAGTTGGTAAAAAATATAAATAGAAGACTTTTTTGTTCTCGTGAGTGTATTAGTGTAAAAAATAATGGCAATTGTGTAATAAAAATGAAAAAGTTGAGATAATTTTATGGTGATATGATTATTTATGAAAATAAGAATATTGTTTTGGGATAGACAAAAATGGTAAACAAGACTATTGTATTGGAACGGAGGGAGTATGATTTAATGTTTTTGAAAATAAATAAATAAATAAATAACACAACATTATTATTTATAATCCCCCAGTCTCTTAACAATCTATCTATTTTTTCATTTTGGTCTGTCCCATAACAAAGTATCTATTTCATTTTTTTTTAGTAATTGTACTATCTACCTAACATTACAAATACACTTCCAATTTACAATATATTACACAAATGACATTACTTTTATATCATATAATACTAATAGGGTTAATTTAATCTTTTTACATTTATTTATACTTTATCCCAATATAATAATAATATTTCTAAAACTCCGTATAAAAAACAAATAGATATATAGATATGAGACGGAGGGAGTAATTGTTTTCAGATGTATTTTTTTATATGTATTTTTTATACTCCATCCGTTCAAATAATAAGTATAAATTTACTTTTAGCACGAAGTTTAAGAAATAATAGTATTTTAATTATAGTGAATAAGTAAAAGTAGTGTAAAGACATTTTTGCCTTTACTTTTTGGTATAAAAATAATAATGTGATGTAAAGTAAAGGCATTTATGAAAAAACTTGGGATATTTAATGAAACAGTTACTTTCTAATTAAACGTCCCAAAATAGAATTATGTAGGACAAATGAAGTATTGGTAGAGAGAATTGTATTGCTAACATAAAAAAAATTAATAATAATAATTATATTAAATTTTAAATTTTTTTATAAAAGTATATAAAAAGAACTATATTATAGGAGTATGTTTTAAATTAATGTATCGTTATATTGTAGGAGTATTTTTTATAATATTTATTCAAAATCATAATTAAAATAATGTGTTGAAAAAATATTTTTAATTGTTTTCTCAATTGCGGTACCTATTGTCATATCAATATCTTTTTTATTTTAATTTTTTTAATGATAGAAGAAATTACTTTTTTTAATGATAGAAGAAATTACTTCCGATGTGTTCTTTTAGAAAAAATATATATTATATATTTTTCGAATACATTAATATATCATATATATTTATTATTTTTATATTTTTTTTTATACAATTTATCATATTTCACATTAGAAGTTTTTTTTTTTCAAATTATTTTACAAAATAAACACACATTCATGTTCACTAAATCTATATTTATGTTTTTGTCCATAAAAAATATAAACTTTTTATTTGTAACAAATAATTTTTATAATACCATTTAATATTATATATATGCTCCAATTTGTATCAACATATAATATACAAACGTATCATTTTAATTTTAGGTTTGGCCGAAAATTTATCCAATGTGCACTTTCGGGTAACGGCTGCGGATTTTCACGTCATATAAAAAAAAAAAGACGGTGATGGTATGTTTCTTTAGGGGCTTTTGAGGAAATTTAGGTTTGAATTTAGTTCTTTAGGTGAGTTTGAATTTATGTGTTTTTTTTTGTGATTAGGTTTGAGTTTGATTTAAAGAGTTTTGATGTATATTTATTTGATGATAATGAATATAATAATATAAATCTGTATAATTTGATTATAAATTTATATTATACTATATATTTTATTAAATTATAATTATTGTAATTTTTTTAATTTATAATTAAAAAAAAACTTTAAAAAAGAAACGTCTATCCCCAAATCGGTTTGTACAGTAATTCAGCCCAAAACTGGACTGAGAAACACACCATTGTGTTTGGCTATTTAAGTTTTGAATTAAATAACTATTTGATGTAATATATTTGAATAAATATTTATGTAATATTAATTTTTTTTATTATTTTTATTTGTCTTGTTTAAAGTATTATTTTTTTTCACACCTCAACTATATTGCAATATTTTTATTTTTGATTTATTTTAAACACTTTGTAAAATAAAAATAATTAATTATATTTAATTTTTACACTATTTTTTATATTTTCACATCATTCAAATAAAAATAAATAAATATACATTTATTTTTTTATCACATTCTTTCATTTTTAAATTATCATACTTAATCTATTTCATATTAATTAACATATTTGATTTTTAGTAAATCTATTCATTTTAAAATATACTTAATAAATATAAATTAATTAAATTAAAATTCTAAAATCTTATCTATAACAAAACTAAAAACTCTTTTGTATCTCTCCATTCTCAATAAATATATTTTTATTTATATTTAATTTTTTTTATTTTAAAATATAATTTATATTAATTATAAATAAATAAATATATATATTTTGTATATAAAATTTTATTGAAAATAATATTTATATTATATATATTTTTATGAGATACAGTACTTAAAATATTTAACTATTTTAAAAATTTTACATTATATATATTATTTTTTATTCTAAAAACATTAATATCATTAGCATAAAAAATAATACTCCCTCATTCTCATATTATGCATTTGCTTTTTTTCGATAGTTTTAAAAATATTAATATTATATAAAGATACAGTAGAAATAAAAGTAAAAAAATTAAATAGCGATATTTGTGTAATATAGTATAAATTAAAATAATATTTATAATGTTAGTTAGATAGTAGATTATTTAAAAAAAAATAGACAATTTGTTATTAGACAGTAAAAATAAAAAAAAATATAGATAGTTAAGCGAGAAGTAATAATAATATAATATTATAATCTAATTTTATTAATTTACTAAATTCTTAACCTAGTAACAAAACCCTTTTGAAGATGAAGAGAGAGGAAGCTAATGTTTTTTTTTTTTTTTTTTTTATAATATTTTTAATATCAGATACAAGACGCAACAAAAAATAAATGAAAAGGGAATATATTACATATATTTATTATTTTTACATAATTTACAATTTTTTTTTTTTTTTTTTTTGTATTCTACCAAATAAACCGTAATTTTATTTCATTTATTCTTTACTCAAGGTATGTTTCTTCGGAGGAGTTTGGGGAATGTTGATTTGGATTTGATTTTTATTTGAATTTTGGGATGAATTTGGATTTTGTTGTTTTTTTTGTGTTTGAGTTTGATTGGAGTTTGGAGAGTTTTGATCTATTGATTTGATGAATAATGAATATAATAATATAAATGTGTATTAAATTTAATTGATAAAATTTATATGGTATGATTTGATTATGAATTTATATTATATCCAATATATATATTTAAATTTTTATTTATTTGTATTATAAAAAATTTTATTTTCTATAAAATAACATATATATTGTATATATATATTTTTTATTTAATTATAATAAATATTAAATAAAATTTTAATTAAAAAAAAAACAAAAAACAAAAAACAGAAAAAAAAAAAAACAAAAACAGGAACCTTGGAGAAACATACCCTCAATACTATGTTATTTTGAGTATGACGGGTAAAATTTTAGCAACTTTTGTTTCCTGATGTTAATCGTCGAATCATGACAATGCTAACACATAGAAACGTGTTCAATTTAAGAAACGCGATTTTGTCTTACGGAGCTTCTTGTATATGAAAGGGGGTTTCGCATAATATTTAATATTTTCAGCGGCGTTTCTTCTTCTTCTGCGCCGATGAACATGAGCAGGAGTGTGGTGGACTCCTCCTACGCTGCTCTACTGGAGAAGACGAGGATTCCACAGACCTCGCTCCAGAAGCTTGCTGTTATCGCAATCTTCGAAAAGTTTCGCTCCACGTCGCCTTCCGATGCAGGTCGGGATGCCATTAGCCGCTGCCTTCGCACTCCCTCACCGGCGGTTGTCGATCAGGCTACCAGGGAGCTCTGCCGCCTCGTTAAGGATTCGAAATTGGATGTCTCTGCGGGGCTCTTGGAGCTTCAGTCCGCACTTGAGGAGTCTTCCAATCCACAGTTGGCTGGTGTGTTTGTGAGAGCAATTGGATTGCTTTGTAGGATTGGTTTCCAAGAACAGCCAGCTGCCTTTAGGTTTTATTCGTCAGATAATCATCCATTTGTCAAAGTAAGGACAGTGGTTTGCTTAAAATGCTTTTATAGAGTTATAATTATCAATTTGCTATTACGTCATTTGCAATAAAATTCAGAATATATATATATATATATATATTTGATCTGTTTAATTTCCCTAACGAATGAAATTTGTACTTTTAATCGATATAATCGACCGAATGTGATGCTTATGCCTCATTGATGGCAGATACTGTCTTGCGGGATTGAAGTTCAACCCGAGCTTGTGAAACAAATAATTATATTTATCACCAAGTGTAAACACATTGGAATGGAGGCTGCCTGCGGGTTCTTGGGCACTTTTCTTAATTATTCCTTAATAAAGCTTCCAATGGTGAGTTCTGGTAGCACATTTGTGAGGAATTTAACCTCTACATTGGCCGCATTTTGTTGCTCATCTCCCCAAGAAGCCGTTTCCATATTCAGACTGTTTCTGGGGCGCCTCAAATTTATTCCATGTAAGAATGCTGAAGTAAGTTCAAATTTTGCACACAACAATGCTGGTTATTTGGTTGGGTTTTGGGACATGGGACATGGAACATGGCTGCAGAAGCATCTCCTTTGAACCTAAATCAGGCTATCGTAAAATGGGGCAAACTTTAATCCTTCTGTTCTATTCAATGTTTGCAGGATGTTAGTAATGTTTCTTACATCTTTGAATGCTTAGTGGACGCATATCAAGTGGTTTTGAGGCAGTTGATTCCAATGGGATTGGTATGCTTGTTGTACCGACCTTTTTATATATATATATATATATTTATTTAAATAATTATGTTCCTTTAGGTGCACCTGGTTGAAGATTCTACATGATTTATATACATATTTTCTTTTCTTTTCTCAATGTTACAGCTTGTACATGAAGCTCAGGTATGTGGCTTAGAGATGCTGGACGCAATTTTATACAAACATAGGAATTTTCGCAAGTATTCTAGTGGTGTTGAGGAAGTATTATATTTGGCGAGACACTTATTGGCTGTCCAGAAAGAGCTTGGCCTTAATTTTGTTGCTGAACTTTCCTCAGTGATAGTTTCCTTGTTCGAAATCCTGATCGTGTCTGAGTTTGAGCACGAACAATATTCTGTATTGAAGCTGGTTTTGTTTCTCTTACAATGGAAAAGTGAAAATGCTACAGGTTTCTGTTAATCTTATGTCTTTGTTATTCTGTTGTTCCTCCCCCCCCCCCCCCCCCCCCCCCTCCCCCCAATTTTCTCCTTTCTTTGATTGTATATGGTTGAAGATCGAAACCATCAAAAGATGAAACTTCCTGGTGTTCTGAACTACAGTCATGGGGCTAATATATTTGCAGTCTTCTGTAGTCATAGCTTATTTCAATGCTGCAATTTCTTGTGTCAACTTCTATTTGAGTTCACAGCCATTTGGTCTTGATGAATTACAATCTAAGTGCAACATTTGGAATATATGTTTAAAATCTGGAATAATTGTCATCATCTTTATTGTATCTGCACGAATGAAATTCTTCTTTATCCCATTACCTTGGTACTATGTCTTCTGATAGAAAGCATCATTCTTGCAGGATACCTCAATGATGCTTCTGCTAGTGACCCGAGTGAAGAGCTGTTGTTTATTTTCCCTGTACTTGCCCTTGTTTCCTCTCCATCGACATCAATCAAACAAGTTGCCACTGATTTACTTTCTCTTTTGGGAAAGGTTACAACTAATTTACTAATCTCACCATTGGAAAAAAAGCAAAGGGCAGATGGGAAGGATCTATCAATCACCTCTCCAGGATACATTGTGTTTAGGTTGTTAAGGAATCTATGGTTTGAGGTGTGGTTCTATTATCTTCTTATTTTATTTGTCATCATGGATTGAAAAATGGCTGTTGATATAATAAGCATACTTTAATAGGTTGGGAGAAGCCGTTTATACACTAATTGTTTCTTTACTGTGCTCGTTTCTGCTTCACATATTCCTAACTTCTCCGTTAAATAACTGTTTTTCTCAGGATGAGTTGTTATTGTATGCTTCATCATGTTATTTTTCTAATAGTGAGGCTTGTGATGATGAACGTTCTGCTATAAAAACTTGGACAACTTCTATGAGTGATTATTGTTGGGGTAATATTGGAAAGCACAAATCTGCTTCAACTATCTCAGTCTCTGAAGAAAACTTTTTGATAGGTGAAATTCCCCTAAATTGATTCTATACATCCACTTCTGTCGATTTTGGTTGATGGCCCTTTAAATTAAGTGTTATCTGTGATTGATTGTAAATACTGTTTGTTCTTTCAGATATGCCTCAAATACTTTCTGCAGTATCAAGTGTACTTCTTTTGCATCAAAAAGGAAACTCCTTCATTGATCTGTTAGCTGCCGTCACTAATATGCAACCTAAAATGGGTGTTCCTTTATTGCTGCTAGTTTTATTCTACAGTCACATGTTTTGTAGCATCGAGAAATCTGATGGCTTTCCTGATATGTTGGTGAGTTCTAGAATTTTCTATTTATGCAGCATGCACTTTGAATTCTGTCTCATATTTGTTATGTTGACCAAATTAAACTCATACATGCATTCTCTGCAAATTTTATATAATTTGTTTTTTTGTGCAGCTGAAGCTCTTGGGTTTGCTTCCATCAGTTGCTTCACATCCTGCAAGTATACCATTAATTCTTCAAATTCTTCTTCCAATGCTTCAGAAGGACATGAATCTGTACGTTATCTGCAATTTTTATCTAATTTTAAATAGTTGGTACATAGGACAATAATCAGTGTGACTCTATGGGTACTATCAATGATGCCCTTTTCATTTCTGCGATTAAATAGTCATGGTTTACGGAGGCACTTGGTAAGTTGATCATTTTTACATACTGTTAAGTCTTAGAACTCAAATAAGACAAGGAAGCATGAGATTTGTAATCTTACAAGCTTAACATGGGTAGTGGCTTCTCATTCTGATTCTTGCAAACAATCTTATCATGTAGACAAGTAGTTGGACAAGTGAAGCAATATCATTTTTATCTAGACTTAGAAGATTTAAAAACGTAGTGGCTTCTCATTCTGATCGTTACTGTTAGTTTACTCTCTGAGAAGAACATATATGACCTCAACATAAAAACACTATTTCTTTATTCATAAAGCAATCACTTTACAATAATTTAGAAGTACTAGAATCAAAGATCATTATCAGGAGATTTTGTTCTGACCCTTGAGCATTTTTGTTTACTTAATTGCTGTATCGAGAGTTCAAGACTCAAGAGTGAGGATGGAGTGCAAGGGCGAGTTTTCCTTTTTCTTTCTCTGTTTTATGTCTTGTTCCTAAATGATTACTAGCTTTGGTTTTATTCTATATTTCAGTGTCTTAAAAGCCACTGCCATACGTTTGATTTCTAAGACCTGGGAGATCAACGACCGTGTCTTTGAAAGTTTGCAGGCAAGTTTATATTCTATCAATGTCTGTGTGTTCGTGTGGTGGAGGTTGTTGAGCTCTTGAAGTTTCAACTAAAATTGAAAAAAAAAAAGATCATTGAAATTTGGAAAGTACAAGATTTGTTATGATTGTCTAATTACACCATTTACCTGCTGCTATTTTGTCGTTTTGGCTTTACTATTGTGTTTTTTAACCTCCTTTATTTCCATCCATCATTTTTGTATGCAGTTAATGCATGTAGCGTGTAATCCTTGTTTTATGTTTCTATTCTTTTCCACCGTTAAAAGTGTGTATGGAATTCCCTGAGTAGAACATCTAGATATTGAAAGAAATTATTATCCATACCAATGAGATCATCATTTACCAAGTCACTGCCTTTGCTGTTCTGTCCCAATTAAATTATACGCAAAAATGAGTCTGTTCTTTTTCTATTTTGTACAAATCTTTTTGTGGATTGTAGGGTATATTGCATCCAAATGCATTACTACAAGATGCAAATGACCGAGGAATTTGTATCAGCATTGCTACTTCTATTCAAGATGTTTGCAAGAGAAACCCTGATAGGGGGGTGGACATTATTTCATCTGTTGCGGTAGGCTCTTCATTTTGTTTAGGTTTTCCTGTACTTGCGTTTTAATCTCTTAATTACATAACTTTGTTATCAGGCATGCATAGAAAATCATGACCCTTTGGTTCAATCTCTCGGATTACAAAGCCTTTCCCATCTTTGTGAAGCTGATGTGATCGGTAATGTAATCTTTTCAAGTTTCATTACTTCTAACCTATTTGTCTCTTACCATGAAAATATGACAAGAGCTTGAATCCTTTTGCCTTAATCTTGGTCAATAGACCAAGGATAAATCATGAACAAGGCTTTTTGTTTTCAAACACTCTAAGGTGGAGATATATTAGGTTTAATATAGAGATAATATTTTGTTTGAATATTACCATGGTTCTTGCATGGTCCTTCCCTTTAACCTTTTTCCTTGTGTTATTCTTGCAATTTACCTAGCTTTGACAAGAACAAGCCCTACTCTAAAAATTCCGTTAAAGTTACTTTGTCTGGCTAAGGGTCCTTTGTTTCATGATTCTATTGATCTTCCATTGTCTTATTCCATTTAGCAAAGCTTTGAAAAGAACAGATCATGCTCTAAAAATTGCACTTAAGCCACTTTATGTGGCTATAAGTCATAAGGGTCCTTTGTTTCGTAATTCCATTGATAAAATGTTCACCTTCTTTCCAATGTATTGGTGTTTCTAGATTGAGTCAGGGCCATTCTTGAGTTTTAATGGGCCCTGGGCAAAAAGAATAAAGAAAGGCCTTTATTTAATTTTTTATATAAATAGTATAAAATTAATAATTTTTAAATATTTATTGTAGTTTTTTTTTTTAAATTTTTATTACTCCTTCCGTCTGGTAAATTTAGAACATGTGGTTCCGGTATGGAGATAAAAAAAAATAAATATTTTATTGAAAAAGTGATAAAAATAAAAGGGTAAGTGGTGGTATTTTTGAAATTTTAGTTAGAAATTAAAGAACAAAGAAGGAGAGAGAAGTTAATAGAAGTAGTGGCATTTGGTGTAAGTAAGTGTTGAATGGAGGATAATAGTTAAATGTTGATTTGTTGATTAAAATTAGTAATGGGGTAAATTTAGCGGATAGACTAAAAAGGAAAGTACGAGTAAATTTGGTGTTCCTGATTTAACGTTGATACAATTGGTTTAAGTTTAGCACTTGAGTGAAGGCTAGAAAATGGTTGTGGCAGACAGTCTCATAATGAAAATTAAATATGAACATGATGGTATGTTTTGTGAACATACTACAAGTAAATATCAGATACGGTTAGTAGAGCTTGTAGGTAAATATGAGATGTCGTTGAATAAATTATTGTTTCCTTCGGATCATTTCAATCACTAGATTTATTGGAGTGATTACAATTAAACTAATGTGCTATTTCATTTGTATATAACAAGTATAAATAAAATTTAAAAGGTGGGGGTTAAATGAAGAGTGCCAATTAGGACTGGTGCATACTTAATGAGACGTCAATGTTTTCTAATTTTTTATATCTTCAAATTCCAAATTTGGCTCATTGTTCCTTCAAGCTCTCTAGTGTTGATTGTGAATATTTTTGTCAAAGACCTTCTTTGTTTTGTGATTTTATTAATGCACGTTTGTAAATTTTCCTATAATCAAGCATGCTGCGGCAATTGATGTAATTTCAATGTTAACTTTTTGTTGCTCCACAGATTAAAAAATAACATCCATTTGAAGGCTGCTTATAAATTGATGCAAAGTCATTTTTAATTCTTATACCTTGTTAAAGAAAGGGTTTTTTATTGGTCTTAATCTTTTTGTATCAAAATATGTTATCTCTTGTGCAGATTTTTATACTGCCTGGGATGTGATTGCACAGCATGTGCAGATTTACTTAAAAAATGCTGTGGTCTCTTATGGGTAATTTCTTCTTCTCCTCTCTCTTTCTCTCTTTGTTTGTTTGTCTACATATATCTTCATGATTTTTAAGTTTAAGATGTAAATCCGTCTGAGGTAGCTGATTATGAGTGGAGACTGGAATGGAACACAAACAAGTAAACTCATCCTGGAAATGCTTGGCTTAGTTTCGTTCATTTGTAGCAACACACACATATGTATATATATATCTATTCACATGACTGCTTGTCTCTCTCTTTTCATAATCTCAAACGACTTTCATGTCATATAACTTTATGGTTCATTAGGCTGTCTCTACTTTTGAGATGGGGAGCAATGGATGCCGAAGCATATCCAGAGGCTGCTAAAAATATTGTAAAAATATTGTGGGATATTGGAACCCATCAAGAATCTGGCCAAAGTTTTTTGTGGAAGAGAGCACAAGAAGCTGCATTCACAGCTTTAATGCAATATGAGGTAGGTCATTTTGATGTCCTTGTTCCTTTCAAAACAGTTTACTTGCGCTTTGCAAACTATCTTGTTTGTCAAAATGAATTGATATCAAATAAATTGAGTTCCTCAGAAGTATGGAATTGGGCTTATATATATATATTACCTGATTAAGTTTTGCTGATTATCATAAAATTTCTTATGTTCTATTTGCGTATCTATGTGGATTCTTTTATTTTTTTGGTTTTCCATTGATATCTTAGATAACAATCATAGTTACCCTTCTCGGAAATTTTCATAGGTGGATCAACTTCAGAGATGGATACCAGATTTCAGCGTCAGGAACATGGAATTATTAATTTCTCAGGCTGATCCAGAATTACTGACATCATTGGAAGAGTTTGAGATAAAAATTATAAATTATCAGCACATGTTAGAAAAATACTATCTGCATATTTGATAAATTACTTTGGAGGAAAGAAATGATAGTTATTATATTGATAATGTTGCACTATTCTGCAGTACGAGGCGGAGATTCGTAAAACAGAAAAAGGTCTCTGTTTCGAGAAGCAAAATTGTTAAACTGCTGGATGTTGTCCCTGGGGTTATTTTCGGGTCAGGTACAAATCAGCAGTGATATTTTTATATTAGTCATTAATGGAGCACTGGCATATCTGTTCTTTATAATATGTTGCTTGACATATAGATCCTACATGACATCTCTTGATTTTTTAATACGCCAGCAAGTCCAACCATTTTGACCTATCTGAATGTAATGGTTTTTTCTTGTTCTACTGAAACCATCTTTTGCTTTCAAATTAGGGATCATGTTTTCTTTTTCTTTATGTTCAATAAATATGAACTAAGCGTAATGACATCCTCTGTAGTAATAAGTTGCATAATTATATTTATTTGTGCAAATATTTGATGAATCTGTCAGGACAATGATTACTTAGTAGTCATACAATGATTTAGTGTATTCATGCAATGAATGTGCTTGATTTTAATCATTGGATGGTGAATTTCATATTTAATTTGAATATGTTCATGTTTTGAGCATTTCCTACGCAGGAAGTGACCGAAGCATCAAAGTACTACCTGGTGCTGCTCTGCTCTGTCTTCCAACTCCAAAGGATTTGAAGAAGCAACAAGTATCAAAAGTGTGATTTTTGTATCTGTATCGTATCAAATTATTTCCTAATTTCTGTAGTTCTGACTTCTGACTTCTGAACACCAATGTTTAGGGATTAGGGGATGTGCATGCTAAATATGAGGACGCAGCTGTTGAAATATCCAAGTCTCTCGAGCTCTCAAGAAATATTTTGCTCGCCCTTCTCTCCTTACAATCATGGAAACCTTTCATGAAAAAATGGCTTGGGTCTTGTGTAATGGTACTTGAGGCAAAATCTCATGGCACAGTGCTGGACAAAACTTCAAAAGTTGCTAATGATATTCTGAAGGTGTGGTGCCCTATTGTTCTTTAATATCTTCGACACCCTTTTGTGTCTTGTCACTCTTTTGAAAATATACCCTATAAACATGCTTAATCTTGCAGATCCTGACAAAATTAGCCGAAACTGAAATCCCTCGATCTGCTGAGAATATAGCACTAGCAGTTGGTGCTTTTTGTCAGGTAAATTAAGTGAAGTATTTAATTTCTTTATCATCATATGGGATATAAATATGTGTTGATGTGATATTTTGAATGTAAAGTTGCTATTTAATATAATATAAAAAATAAAAAAATAGGTGTTCGATTCAATATTTTTAAAAGAAAAAAAAATTGTGAATAGTAAAATTTGGGGTAAAATCCCCCGACCAAATGCACCAAATTTGTATCAAATTTAAAAGATTATTGTGAATGTTAAAGTGTGTTAAGCTGGTATTCTCAGTGTAGGTATTGCCTGCATCTGCACATGCACTGAAGTCTGCAGCCTCGACATTCTTACTAAATTGGTTGTCCCAGTATGAGCATGAATATCGCCAATGGTCAGCTGCAGTTTCTCTTGGATTGATCTCAAGTAGCCTGCATGCTACTGATCACCAGCAGAAGTTTAAGAATATCAATACTCTTCTTCAGGTATATGGGGAATGCAAGTTATTATTGATTTCTTCCCTCTTTCGTGCTTTCGCAAGATATACTTTACTTATATTTTGATTATTTGTGTTTCGATTTATGATTAGAAGCTTTTGTTGAAACTTGAAAGCCGTACTTCTTTTCATATGAAACAGCTTTTAAGTCTTCTTTACTCTGAAATCGTTGTTGGTGTAACCACTTACTCTGTTCTGTGAAAGGCTGGCATGCAATAGCTACTATTTGATGCATAACTTGGGTCCTTAATAATTGGCACATCAGAATTCTCTTAGCTGTTTCATTTCTATTTGGACTGTTCTTTATTAGGTAGCAAAGAATAGCAAAAGCACCCTTGTGAAAGCTGCTTGTGGAATTGGATTGGGTTTTTCAAGCCAAGATCTTCTAACAAGAGTTGATTCTGAAGTTAATACTAAATATGAAAAAGAATCATTCAAGGTGAAGGAAATTGAATTGTTGGGAAAGATCATCGGGACTTTAGTGCAGATGATATCACGGGGTACTGGATCTGCTTCTGGTATTCTGAAGGTTCTAGCAAAGTCTTTTCCTCTTGTAATTGATGATTCCTCCTCACTTGAAGCTGATTTCCTCTCTGAGAATATTGATAAACTAGAGGAGGATCCATGGGGTATAGCTGGACCTATCATTGGAATAGGGAATTGTCTTGGGGCAATATATCGGGCTGGGGGTCATGATGCAGTTATCTACATAAAAAACTTGATCATTTCATGGTTACCTAGTGCAGATGCTTTGTTTTCAGAATCTATTGGAGCCTGTCTTGCACTACCAACTATAGTGTCGTTCTGTTATAGAGTAGAACTACTTGATGATGATGAGTTGAGCCGTCTTGTCAGTGGCTTCTTGGAGCTTCACTCGGGACTGTTATCCACTGAACAATCTGATACCTTCCACTTGGGTTTGTTGGTGGCATCTTGTGCTGGTGCTGGAAGTCTCATTTCTATTGTTTTGAATGCGGGGCTGCACTCTGTAGAAGTCAAACATATTAAAGGTTTGCTGGAAGTGTTTAGAAGAACTTACTCGAGTCCTAACCTGCCCTTTATTCATCTAGGAGGTATGCTTGGTGTGATAAATGCAATGGGCTCTGGTGCTGGTACGGTGATGATCCATAACCTTCATCAAAAGGTTGGCAAACAAAAATTTCCCTTGAACTTCATATGATTTTTTATGAAAATAGTAGTAGTGGCATTCTTACTTTTTTTTCATGAGGTGTGATAAAATTGAGTTTGTGTATGGTCATATGTTTTAGGTGGAAAATAGTGGTTTTAGTGCGGAGAGTAGTTGATTGTATTTGGAAAGTCTATATTGAGTTTTTATACAATATTAGGTATTCTGCGTGTATGTACTAATATGAGTGCATATATGGTGTGGGTAGTAATCAATTGTTACTATATTTGTTCTTGAAACTCGTGTAGCTTGGAATGGAACATCCTTTCATCAAACACAGGCAACTTCAAAATGGACAGAAGATGTGGGATGAACAATATTTCATAGTTCATAATCAACTAATCTGCCTGCTGTGTTTATATAGCTCATTGGTTTGATATGGTTTTCTTTTTTTCTTTTTTTTTTCGTTATAGGAACAATTTCCTTTCCCAAATCCAGTGCTTCCAAATCATGATTTGGAGATGGAGCTAACAACTCTGATTCAAGAAATATTTATTGTTGCCCAAAATTCTGATGATCCTCAGTTACAGCAGTATGCAGCATGGGCAGTGTCGTTTCTCAGACATTCTGTTTTCTCCAGAGAACTCTCAAATGAGGAGACTGAGGTACATAATGACCATACTACCCCTAAACCCATATCTCAGGGATTTTCTGAAGATAGCCTTGTCATGAAACTGTCCTTGTGGCTTATGCAAGTGAACTTTGCTGAGGTAATTCATACTTTGCTTGCAATTGTACATTTTGGCACACTTCTGTCCCTTTGTGCAGCTATACTGCATTGTTAGTTAAGCTTAATGTAAACTTACCTTTTCTTATTATGAAATTTCAGCTTGGAACTAGTGATATTGTTAGAAGAACTGCTTTTGCTTTGCATTGTTTGTCTCATGCTCCAAGGTTGCCATCATTAGATTGGGGAGCACTGATCAGGCGATGCATGAAATATGGGGGCCAATTTGCTCAAATGCCTTCTGAAGATAAAGCCTTCAGAAAGGGAATCCTCAGGGAGGAATGCTTTCTGTTTCTGTTATCTCATTCAAACCAATCAGATACACTTCTTGGCTTCCTTGATGAACTAACTGATCTAGCAAGGTTTAAGACACTCGAGATAAATCTGCAATCCCTCGTACTCTTGCACTTGGCAAACCTGTTGAAGATATACTCTAGTTCTAGAGTTGTAAAGCTTTTTGATGACGTGGTGGACTTCTTACAGGGGGTTGTTTACTCTGATCATTACAACCAAGAACAAAAAATCTCATTGCGAGTTGCTTGCTGGAAGGGCCTGCAGACTTGTTTGAATGAAAGTGCCATTGAAACGCTAGACTATTCATATAGTTTAGAACATTGCATGGAGATTCTTTTTACAATGCTGCCGCTGTCTACCTCATGTGTCACTGCTGAGCCGCACCAAGCAAATTTCAAATCAGAATGGACAGAGGCAATTGGATGCCTTGGGAAGGCGAGGGAAAGCTGGCTGTCAGATCTTTTATCGGTAATCTTTCATTAGTTTACTAGGTGGAGTCCAGTTAGATGTGTGTTAAAAACTTATTTGGCATTGTGATATAATCTTTGGAAATTCACTGTTTGGCTGATCCTTGTTTTCGTCTTTCAGAAAATGCTTCTTTTTGCCCAAAATTTACTCCTACTTTTGTTTCCTCTCCATGATTTGTTTTTGCTTTTGCTTTTGTCTACTCTCTGTAAGCAAGTAAATTTGGAATAAAAAATTTGAGGAAATATAATTGTGGACTCTCAACTGAATGACTCAGCAAACTATCTATTGCATAATTATCTTGTGAATGCCCTTGAAGTTGTCTATAACAAACCCTAGACAGCGATAATCACTTTTGCTTTGACGCGTTAATTTTTTCTTTCTTCTCCTACTGTACAGGTTTCTGATGCAAGTTTCAAAGAATTAAGCAGCCAAAGCATTGAAGTATTGAAAAGGGTCCTGGCCAAAGCTGTACTTGTTCGAATAGGTGCCATTCCATTGTCGGAACTTGCAAGATTGAAGGCATATATTTTGGATATTGATTCAGAAGGTAACTCAATATATTTTTTAAGCAGCACCATTACATATACTGTTCTGATGCTAACAAGAAACTATCAATTATCCAAATATCTAGTTATCTGGTACATTCTGGTGGAAATTGTTGCAACTTTGCAACACAGTGATGAAAGTGTTCGAAGACAGTGGCTTGTTGATGCAGTGGAAATTCTGTGTGTGACACGGTATCCTTCAACGGTATGAACCAAAGAATGTTTCTGTTGAATAATGTTATTCTTCTTTTCCTTATCTAACTACAATCTTTTTGCAAGCAAGTCAGATAACCATTTGTTATATCTATATACCAATGCCTTCTCACCTGTAAAGTTCGCCTTCCTTTTTGTTATTTTTGTGCTTTTTTTGCTTCCTCTCTTTTTTTGATTACCCTACTTCCTATAATCTCCTTGCAATACATCTTATTCTAATGAACTGGTCATTCTCACGAATCTTGTTTGTTTAAAGTTAGGCTTTCTGCCTATGTGGATGCATATCTGTAGTAAGAATAATCACGCTGCACTTAAAATTAGTAATTTGTAAGCTATGAATGTAGTGACTTTGATTGTTAAAAGTACAGTTCTGTAGTGTACCCCATGCTCGAAACTCATATACTGTTGGGGTTGTTTTATGCAGGCTTTGAGGTTTATAGGTCTGCTATGTGGAAGCTGCTGCAAATACATGCCTATTTTGGTTGCTGACAAATGGTGTGTGTTAAGTGACTTGCCGGCTACTGTCTCATGCATCTTCCAAGACCAACACAGTGGCAGTGGCTGGAGTATAGTTGCCGAATCCATAGCATCGTATCTTTGCAGATCAACTGAAAGAATTCATGATTGGGCCAGACATGTGGAGAATGGCAGCACATATTTTCCAGGATCACAACCAATCGATCATAGCGAGGTTGGCATGGCAGATTTCTTATTCCAAGTGATGCATCAATGCTGTGTCTCTTTGAGAGAATATTTGCCTCCGGATAAGCAGCTAAGGCTTGCTAACATGCTTATTACTTAAGGAGAAGACTGAATTCTTGTATCAAAATTGCTTCGACACTTTGTTCTATTCCTACTTCCGTTTATACTCTACATGCGAGATACTTCCTCGACCACTGATCAATCATATAGCTTACTAAGTGATTTTAAATCAAAGGCCATCATCATCTTCTTGGTTCATGTGCATAATGTATGTTAAAAAAGTGTTTGGGTGATTTTCTTTCAGTAGTACATCACCACACCTAAAATCCCATTCCCAAGTTTATAAATGAAAATCCAGTAAAAAAACTAACCATGAAGGAATCTACTTTTGAGCAATCTTTATTTGATAGTATAGAAATTGCAGCAAAAACAAAAGCCCCTTCCTAGTGCTTATCTAGGATTCGACGATACTAATAGGACCCTAGTCATTATGGCAAGGAAAAGTTTGATTCAGAGGGAGAAGAAAGGCAAAAATTGGAACAGAAATATCATTTGATAGATCGATCATATCATTCTGACAAACCATGTATTTATTCATCAGCCACTACAAGTAAAGACAACTTTCCATTCAACAGGCAGCTCAGCTCAGCTCTATTAATACGAGAAAAAAGAAGGAAAGGCTAAAAAGTTATTGGTATTTCATGAGAACAAAATTTTAACTGTTAACTTTGTTCATACAAACATCTAAAAATACCCACAATGCATTACACATGCAGTTGCTGCCGCCGGCTAAAAATAGAAAATTAGAGAGATCCTTTTCCGTTTCACAAAAATATAAAAATAAAACCGATACCACAATTTGCTACTTGATAAACCATGTGAATTTATATTTAAATGGACATCACTTTACCTCAATTTACAACTCTGATTGCCAGGAACTTCAAGGAAGCTGTTCTTCGCGGGGAGATGATGTTGAAGTAGAATTCGAATCTTTCTTGTCCTGTTCAGAAGAATCCGTATCAACTTTTGTTGCCAGTTGCTCAGCTTCTCCAGCATCGTCGTTAGCAGGAGCATTCTCAGAATGTGCGGGGGTAGCCTCTCCAGCAGGTGGATTATTAGCATCCAAAGGCATATTAGAAGAGGCCGAAACATTCCCAGAGGCACTACTTTCTTTGCGAGAATTAGCAGGTGTAACCCATGTAAACTGCAATTTGTGACCTTGCCAGCTTTTTCCATGGAAGAATGCCTTCTCAGCAAATCGCCGCGCTGTAAAGGCTATACAAGCTGAAACATCAGACGATATGGATGTATCATTACTCTGGCCATTCAATTCTTCCAGCTCCACCGAAGAAAGATCACCAAAAGCAGAGAAATGCTCCTTCAGGGTAGCTACCTGGTAAACCCATAAATGTTTGTAAAGTTAGCAAAAGCCTGTTGATACAACATAAACTAACATGGCAGTAAATAAAACCATGCTTTAAAAAAGACTTTATGATGACAATCTCAGATTTCAGGTTTCCAATTCTCACAGAAAAACAAATACTACCTTCCCACATCTTTGACACAATCAATACTCCGGTATTTTACATAAAGTGATTGTGATAAGACACAGGGGCAATAGAGTAATTCTATCAACATAGCAAAGGATGTAAAAAAAGATGTATGACAGCGACAAGAAACTTACGTTTGCAAGGCCTGTTGGTAGTGGTGGAACAATTCTGAATGCTGTTGGGCGATTGTCCAGTTTGAATCTGTTTACAAGAAAAGGTGCTCCTGTAGGTGCTTGTGGACGAACTGAAGCCTTAGAAGGTTCCTGCACAGTTACAGGTTGGTTTGAAGTGGCAGTAGGTTCCACAGCATGGTCAGCAGGGGTAGCTTTCTCTGTTGTTACATTATCATCTGTAGGTAATTTATTGGAAGCTTCAGATTTTGCTTGTGTAGGAGTTGTTTCACCATTTTGCCTTTTCATTGCAGCATCTGATAGGGTCACATCCTTGGAGCCCCCAGTCTGCAGAAGAACAGAAATTTATTGAGTGGCAAATGACAGGTTAGCAGGATAACTAGTCTCACCAAAACCAGAAACAGAACGAGACTATTAACTGAAGAAACACTAGCATAGATATTTGTCACAGAAAATGACTCTGCTCTTCATCCCTTAGAGACCTCATCAGGTTCAGATGAACAATTCACATGGATATCTACCCTGGCCCAACCCACATGGAATAATTAATCATTATAACCTTTGCAGAGCGAAAACCTACTTTGCAGCTCACTTGCAGCTTCAAAACAAGAAACACTATGGCACATAAATACTCCAAACAAGGAATAAGCATTATAACCTTCGGAGAGCTAAAATCTACTTTGCACCTACATATTAGCTCATTTGAAGCTTCAAAACAAGATACACCATGGCACATAAATACTCCAGACGATAGAAGGATATAACTTGCAAACCAAATGTATAGATATAAATGCAAGGATAATATAACTCAGCAGAGAATGCATAATTAAAATAAATACGAAGTAACATATTCTAGAAATATTACCTGTTTTGTGAGCTTATCTAATTGGCGCTTGAACTCATTTCGCTTCTGATCAAGCATCTCCTGCTTCTTACGAAGCTCTTCTTTCAAAATCTCTAAACTCTCTGATTTCTTTTGTTGTGGTTGAGAGGCTTTGGGGACAGAGGGCTTTGGATGATCATAGACTGTCTGTTGAGGAACAGGTGCCTGGGTATTAACATCTTTTCCACCAACAGGATGAGGATTTTCTTTTCCCTTATCAAGGACAAATGGAGAGGAATGTGTCATCCCATGAGGAATTGGCATATTACTGATACCAATCTTTCCATCATCTGGAATATTATCTCGATTTGCCCACCAAAGCTTGATAAAGCGATTGCCCATTACAGCATCAGGTGCCTTTAATGCTGCTTCTGCTTCTTCCCTTTTTGAAAATTGAACAAAAGCCCGTTCAGTGTGCAGGGGAATATAAATATCAATGACCACCCCAAACTTTTGAAAATGCGAAAGGAGTGCTTCTCTTTTGTTGTCTTTTAGAGGAATGCCATTGACAAATAGAGTGCGAAGTGCTTTCTGAGATGGTTTCCGAATATTGCCAACACCATGTGACTTCACAGACGATTCCTTGGGTAGAGGATCATTTCCCCCTACATTCGTCCACTTTCCTTCAGGAATGTTTGTGTCTAGCACATCTCCACTTTTGATGCCCTGGTCAAGATAAGTAGAGGATGTTCCAACAGAATCCGTGTTTTCCTCTATTGACTTGCGCTTTGAGTTTCGTATTCTCCCCCACACAGATGAATTTGGGCCTCTAGCAGTACTAGCATTTCGGAGGGAACGTGCATCATTGAATCCTTCATGTGATTCAATATTTGGCTGACCAGAAAAGCCCTTATCCATAAATGACTCTGTTTCATCAGCATTTGATTGGTTAAGCCCTAGGAGTGCTGCTGATGTTTCAGGGTTATCATTTGTCCACAAAGGTTGGTCTGGATCGTACACATCAGATGCCGCTGCCACGGAACCTCCCACAACACCAACATTCAGGCTATAACCTTCTTCATTCAGTGAATGATTGCTATTTGGTACATGAAAAGCTTTATTATTTGATAAAGAGCCAGAGCCAGTACTTATTACAGGCAAAGCTCCTTGTCCAGAAGATGATCCCAAAAGCTGTGAACCAGGAAGTGAAACAGGAAGATTGAACTGTGAAAGGCTCTGCAATTTTTAAACACAGTAACAAAGTAATTAATAAAGTATTTCTGGTATTAGTATTACTCTTTAATTCCTCCAATAATTTTTCAATGTATTTAAAGTGTATCCAGCTAATTGTTTCTAGAAATGTGAAACATCTCAATCACGTACAGTTAACTATTAAGGACGGACCATAATTCCCATATAAATGCATGCACATACCTGAACATCTTCAATAACAATGCGATTAACCCCATGTTCCATAGGACACATATCTCCTCTTAAGCAGAAACCTCGTTCCTCGAAATCTCTACACCGTTGTCGTGGAATTCCAATGTTGATTGATGGACCAATGGCTGGTCTCAGTGCCCCTTGCAAACCCATGGGATGAAGTGTGTCAAGTCCTCCATTACCTACTCCAGGAACCAATCCAAAGGCATTCCAGGATGTACTTTGTGAATTAGAAACATTAGCCAACTCCCTCCCAGCAAACAGGGAAGGAGGAACAAGTCCAGGTTGAACAATTTGAGATGCAACATCAACCAAGCCAAACCTAGGATCACGAAGGCCCCAAGGCATAGGATCCCTTCCCCTCCCTCTAGCAAGGCCAATGTCACCTGGCATTGCTTGGTTTCCTCTGATTCTTTGGTTCAATTCCAAAGGAGCTCGGGCAAATGAGGGCTGGTTTAATCGCCTCTTCTCAAACCTTGAGAAGTCTCTATCGGAAGGAATATTAGAATTTTTCCAGATTCCACCTAATTGAGAGTCACCTTCCCTGTAAGCATACCCATTTTCAAAAGGTCTGTTTCTTTTTCTATATGGTCGTGTCAAACCATGATCTATTGAATCTTCATCCAGAGATTGAGAATGTGCATCCCGTCTCCGATGCTTATGGTTTCGGTCATCATCTTCATCCTCAGCTTCACTTACTTCTTTCTCAGGATCACTGGTGCAGTCAGAAGAAGAAATGCCTGTCTTCTGAGAAGCAGTCTTAAGCTCCATGAAATCCTTGTAACAGAATTATAAAAACTTTTTATTCTGCACCAGAAGTTCTATACTGTTTAGCAGATCCCGAAGTGGGGTACAATTGTGTAGTTGTCTGTGCTAGCTTCAGAACCTGGATAACAAAAATGTCAATACAAACCAAAGCGTTTAATATTAGATAAATGTAGAAAACAAAAACTAATAATAAGATCAGTAATTTTGATAAGGATTATACAAATTCACTTTCAGAAATAGGTTAGACAAAAAACTCTTCTGAATAAGGAAGGAAATAATTGCAAAATATCAGAAAACAGTGAAATACAATCATTCACTTGAAGTGCATATTACAAGTGCATTGTAGTGAATATACAATGCGTAATAATGAATCTAGACTAGCACTGATGGGCGCAATAGATTACTCTAGCATAGACATGTTAGCAATCATGAAGATGGAACATATTCTTCAAAACAGATCTGCTTCCAAAAGCAAACCCTACTTATTTTTGTCTAGCCATCCTACCAGTTAATGTCTGATGCTGACAATAAACTTAAAGCAGACTCTCAAACTCTTCATTAACTTGGCATTGGAATGGAAATTTTCCAATAACACATGGTGGTGCCATCAATCACTTGAGATTAGCAATCTTTAACATTTTTCCAATCAAAAGATTTATGTTTAGATTTTGCAATGGAGAGGTACCATTAAACTACTAATACATTCGCTCCAAAAACGAGGGGAATTTCAGTAAAACAATTGCACGTGGCACAGAAGACAACTTCTATGTTAATAGGTTCAGTAATCATTCAATGTGTCATACAATAAATTTGAGATCTCGATATTTTCGTAAAGTCGCCCATGTGAATGACATAATATTACCAGCAAGGAATCTATTTAATCTATTGAATGGCATACAATAAATTTTGGTCTCTATTTCTTCCTGAAATCGTGCACATGATTATCATAATCTTAACATTAAAAAATCAATGTAATAGCGAATCAAAATCAGTTAACAGACAACGCATGTAAGTGACCAACCAACTTCATCCCATGTTATGTGCACATGTGCACTAGAAACAATATTTGAGCTGAATGCTTTAAAAACCATAACCAACCATAAAGGTTCATACACAATTTAACAAAGAACCATGAACAGCTTGGAAGAGAGAATAGAAATAAACACTAGGGATATCACACGAAGAAAAATCCATTATCCCTTGATGTATAGCAATCTACGAATATTAAGGAACAACTTAGACACAACCAGCAAATAACATATCCTCCCAATTCCCTAGCTCACTCGTAAGAGATTCAGAGAAGCCCTATATTCAATGAAGAACACAAACGCATTTGATTTACAAGTTTTTGTTGAAACAATCCACATTCTCCAGCCTCGTACAACAAACCCAAGAAATAAAGACATCTAAAACTATATTAGGTGAAGAAAATATATATTGAAAAAACGAACAAGGATCAATCTCACAATCAACAAGGCGTATTGACAGCATCGAAAAATCTTGCGAGAAAAATACAAATTCATCACATATGAGATTAAATTCAAAACGAGAAACGAATGAACAGCTAAACCGGACCTGGCAAAACGGTGTTGCTCCTAGGGTTTTGATCCTTTTATTCTCCTAATCGCGGATACATACGGGATTTCTCCAGACTCCCGTCGATTGAAGATTTAATCAATAACAAACCGGAATCTCCTCCCCCAACCGTTCCTTCGGTCTTCTGATTATATACCTGGAGCAATCAATTGCGTGCGTCGGCGCGGGTATAGAAGAAGCTCGCTCTCAGATGGAGGAGACGAAAAAACGCTGGAAAAGGGAGGTTTTACGAACAAGGGATTGGATATGAAGAAAAATAATTAATTTCAGAGACCCCAAATTTTAATAAATATGAGAAGTGACCCACGGACTTTAGCGGCTATGTTCTTAAAATAATTGGGGTGGGAAATATAATTTATATTTTCGATTGTACATTCAAATTTTACGATATTATAAATTTGCCCCACAAATTTTTGTAATGTTGGAACACAGACCTGTAAGGTTATTTCCACTGATGTATGAATGGTATTTTATAGGGTACAGAACTATTAAAAAACAAAAATAAAAAAATCTCTTAAAATATTAAAAATATAGTATCATAAAAGGAAAATATACAAAATAGAGGAACTATATAGAATGTTCTAGAATTTATAGAAGAAAGACCTCTTGGTGGCCACGTGGCAGCATCTCTCTCCTACATAATAGCCACGTGAGAATGATGTAACGAATAAAAGCCACTCCAAAAAAAACTTCTCTAAATAACCATAACATAAATTACAGACAAAATATGGCTTTTTATGTGTACAAGGAATGAATAGGTAAGACAGTGAAATTTAAACATGTACTGTGGAACATAGTCTATGTTGTTTTTAAAGAACAATCTTTTTATTAGTAAAACAGATGAAAGTATATCGACAAGTTATATATACTTAAAATGGAAAGAACAAGATCAATACACAAATGAAGCTTTCAAATGGTAGCTTGAAACATGAAGCAGAAGAACCTTCATTTCCATTACTGGCCAAACCATCCTCGACGAGCTTCGCCGTCGCCGTTAGTCATCAGCTTGTCGAGGACAGCATTCAAATCTGCGGCCTGGCCACTTTCGGTTAGCTTTTGTACTGTTGCTCGCACTTGATCTCTCCGGAATCCCATGTTTGTAACCCTGTCGACAATGTCATCGACAGGGTTCCTGTTCCCAGAGCCACCTGATCCTGCCGACGCACTTACTGGGGAGGCTGTCGGCAAGGCCTGAGGTAATATTTGAGCAGTTGGTAGCCGTTGATGATAATCAGTTCCACCGCTCTGCTGCTGTGGCTTACTGTGTTGTCCTGGAGTGTTGCTGTAAGGATACGGCTCGCCATGACCTGACGATGGACCGAAGGAAGCTGAATAAGCTAGGCCGGGAGGCTCATGCATATTGTGGTTTGGTCGGTAGTACTGCTGGGGTTGAGGGGGCAATAGGTGAGGGCTGGGAGTGTACGTTTGAGAAAGTATATGGGATGTTTCTTCGGGTGGATGAGATAATTTTGGCTGAGGAAGGGTCGGGTTAAAAGATATGGGCGACGGGTGTGACTGATATTGGGGGTGTGGTGGAGGCATTTGGTACGATGGGATTGGGGTTTCTGGGGTCTGGTTAGGTGAGGGGTTGTAAGAATCGGGTTGCTGAGGTAACTGATTGGGGAGACGAGGTTGCGGGTTCTGCGGGGTAGGTGGTTGAGGCAGATTATATGAAATTGGGGTTGGCTGTGGTGGAGATACATTGGAGAAAGTTGTTCCTGTCTTGGTAGAATGGCTGGCTGCAATCTTCTTGCTTTCAGATTCTTGTTCTACTCTTGGAGCCCCAAGTTTAGTGATTTGTAGTCGAGCTTCTAATATCTCTTGCTTATCTTTGATAAACAGAACATCGGATTGCACCTGAAGATATGAATACGATGCAAGAAATGTGAGAAGTTAATGTAGTTCATGGAGATAAACAGAATAAGGAATCAACGCTAGAGGCTAAGGCTAATTACGAGCATGATATGGAATGCAACTATAGAGGAAACAGTGCATCGTCCAAAAGACACAAAGCAAGCAAGAACTTGAAAAGCAATGGACAAAAATTGAATTTGGAGTCTTGGCTTCCGGTCAATATGTGAAGTTGATCGGTGTTCTGTGGTACATTATTTTTGAAATCTCATATGACAGGTTAAGCATTTCACTGTCACCAATGCTGTAGTTTATTGTCGATTTAGAGTGTAAAGTTACCCTAAGAACAACACAAGCAAGCTTTAAGATATTTGATGATCTAAGTAACATGATTCCATTTAAAAAAGGCCAAATGATTAATCCAAAAATCAGTGTGTACGCCCCTGAGTTTCGGCAAGGACGAGCAGAATCATAAGATTGATACAAATCAAACACACAGATTTTCAACACACTAAATCAGCCAAATTACCATATTAATGACCACATCATACGAAATTGTAATGCTGCTCAAATATCATATGCCAAGATATAAGACATTGAAGGTACCTACCTCTCGAAGCATATTTTCCAGAAATCTTATTTTTCCATCAGTGTCTCCACGGTTGCTGCCGACAGACACCTTCAGATCATCTACCGAACTCTCAACGTTGCAGCTCCTTGTTTCCAACTGTGATAGTCGTGTGCTCACGCCGTCCAAAGCATGCACCAGATTATCCACATGTTTCTTCATTATCTGATCAATCTCTGAGGCCAAAGAAATGTCTAACTTGGGATTTTCATTCATCCCCGAAATGAATTTGGAATGTTTGTCTGCATCAACAGAACCATATTTCTGAAAAGAACACAAGAAAATCGTCATAAGATTGCATTTAAACTCACAGAAAAGATCACTCAATCCCCAAACTCTAATCAAAGAACTTATGAACAAACAACACCATCAACAAGAAAGGGTGAAAATAATCCAACGCAGCTTCCAGAAAACACATACTAATATTGTGAACTTCCAATAGCTTCCATTAAACCAATTCCCTGAGCTATACTCCTGACTATTGTCCATACAATCACTTAAATGATTGAACTCAAAATCAGAGGATAATCAGTAATTTAATTAAACATGGATCAACCAGCCAGACTTCAAATAATCAAGCCTGCCACAAGAAATAACGAAGCAAGATAAAAAGGAAATAATAAGCATATCGAAGCTAAAGGAACAAGGTATAACGAAATACTCTGAGTGGAGAGGCGTTGGTCTTGGGATCCATAGAATTCCAAGTCCTGTAGAGCGCACCATCGCCGACGGAATCGAAATTAGGGGAACGATCAGGCTGCGGAAACGTAAATGTAACAGCTGGTTGAATAGGCATAAGGTCGTAGCTCGGAAGCAAACCCCCTTTCTTCTCCGGCAAACTATTCACGAAATCAGTGAAGTCGTCGCTGCTTCTATCGTCTCTGCCCTTAACCGCATGGCTCTCCGCACTGGATAGATCCATTATCTGCTTGTCCATGTATTGCATAGTCGAGTTCATCACACCACCAGAATTCAAACCCAATTCAGCGTTATATATACACAGACCACTCTTGTTTGAAATTAAGGAGCGATCCTCTAAGAAGATTGTCGGCAGAAGAAGTCATCTCGACTCAGCACCCCATCTTACCTTCCTGGCTACGCCACGAAAATGGTGGCAATGGAATCGCAGTGTACCGCACGAAAGCGCAGTGAAAATGAGTTCATGGGCCGTAAAATGGACCGAATACAGCACTTTTTACAATCGAGGAATAGACAAAATGGCCTAAAATTCAGCACAATTTGTATTAATGGGCCCTATTAATGGCCCAAATATAAAATTTGTTTAAGAAATTTGGGATGTATTTTTTTTTTATAATTAATTAAGAAAAATTGAATTCATAATATAAAATTGGGTTTGTTCACCATTTTTATACAGATATATTAATTTTTGGCGTGCCGTACAAGAAATTGTGTAAAAAAATAAAATTAAATATTTTAAATTAAATATTTGATTCTTTTTAACAAGTATTTGAATTATTATTTTTTTTAATTTCTTAATTTGGTAAAATAATATTTTGTATTCTTTATTAATATTTTTAGGAATTTGCAATTTATTTTATTTTATTTTATTTTATTTTTAAATAGTTTTAGGGTATGTTTCTTTGAGTTTGAATTGGGACATTTTTTATTTTGATTTGATATTAAATAATATTTTATTAATATAGAATTCAAATGTTAAATTTTCAAAATTTTGGATAATAGTAAATTTACATTATATTTTGAAAGAAATTTGTATTCAATTTGAAATATATATATATATTGTAAGTAAATATTTAAAACTTTCTACGTAGACAAGAGCGTAAAGGAAAAGCATGAAATTTATTCATATCTCAATAATACTTGGAAGTTGGAAATACACGAAATATTGCTTCCCCTGAGTGATGACAATATATAGATAGGGAAGTCGTAGTTGATTGCATATTTAGGAAAGCCAAAAATAAAAAATAAAAATAAAAATAAAAATAAAAGGAGAAATTCCAAACAACCGGCGCCGTTCAATAATAAATTAGACGGAAAGAGACGGCGCCGTTTTGTAGTAAAATGCGCAAACGGCGCCGGCGTGATCAGAATGAATATTCGACGACGGACACGCCGGAGGAGCTGGGCCAGGGGACGTTCGTAATCACCATATAATTCTCGTACACGAATCTCACGCGCTCGCCGTTCACTCTGCAGCCGGCGGGTTTCTCGGAGGCGAACGCCCGCATCTCGCCGGAGCCCTTCACTCCGATTTGTACGGAATTGGCGCGATCGTTGAACACCATTGATTGAATCGCCCCGCCGGTGTTGAGCATGTTTACCAGGCCGATCGGAGCGAACTGAACGGAGGATTTGGGGAGAGATTTGACGGGGGAGACGGTTATGAGCTCGAAATCGAAGGGTTCGAGGGTGAGATCCACAGTGCCGAAGGGTTTGGAGAGGATGAGTTTCTTCTCCTTGAATAAGTACAGGGCGAAGGTCTGGACGCCTTCCACCGGAATCGGAGTTTTCCCCTGCTTCCACTCGATGTCGCCGGGGCCGGCGGTGGAGGAGACGACGCGAGAGTACTCGGCGAAGCATTTATTGCGGCGGTCCTCGGGGCTCCACCCGCCGCCTTGACAATTGAAAGCTCCGACGACTCCGGTGAACTGATTTCGCCCAAACAGAGAAAACAGATTAGCCATTGAATCAATGAATCGATTTCGAGGAAATTAGGGCAGATGATGCAGACCTTGTTGAGATTCCAGATTTTGAGCATGGTTTTGCCGTTGTGGAGAGGATTCTCGAAGAGGCAGTCGCGGCTGGGGAGAGCGTAGTAGTCGCAGCGGAGGATGGAGCCGTCGGGAAGGACGAGGCTTTTGAGGAGGTCGAAGTTGTGTTTTCCGACGGAGTCGCTGACGTAGATAGGGCCGCCGGAGATGGCGCGTGAGGCCGCGTGGAACTCGGCGCAGGGGTGGGTGGACTGGAACATGTCCCAGTCGGGATGGATGAAGTTGCCCATCCACAAGCTGTTGTAGGCGCAGTGAACCATGTGGCAGCCCTGCAACCAGAAGGTGCCGTTGGGGTCGCCGGAGGGATCAGTGCACCAGAAATCGTCTCCGACGCGGCCGAGGGAGATGGCCTCTGTGCCCAGGAACATGAAGTCGTTGCAGTGCTCCATGCTCGCGATTACGCCATTGCCATTGAAGTGCTTCTTCGTCGAGTTCGACAGTGCTTTGTAGTAAGCCTTTGCTAGCTCCACTCTGCCGCCATAGTCCTCGCACAGCATTTCCAGAAGCTGAGAAGAAAAATGGAGATTAATGAGGGTTTTACCATTAATGGAGATTGTTGAGATGTTTGAAGAATTGATTGCTTACGTGGATGACATCCACTTTGACGCCATCGATTCCGACAGATTCCAGATGGGAGTGAAGACCCTCGTACATTTGGTCGACGAATTCAGGCGGGACGAGGCCGACTCCATTGTTGACGATCTTATCGACCGCAAGGTCTTCCATGGTGGTTTTGAGCCCGGGGGTTAAAACGGGCTGGATTACTTCGGATTCGGGTATGCCCGGGACGCCGGGTCGGAGCCCGCCCCAGTAGCCGCATAAAGCGTGCCAAACGTAGACGTAGTCGACGGTGTTGAAGGTCTCCTTCATGTCGCGGATGAAGGCGCCCATGCCGGTATTCGGGCCCGGGCCGGACTTGTTTGGGCTGACGTACTCCCGGAACTTGTAGTTCTCCTCGAATTTGATGAGGCGGCAGGGCATCTGCTCGCCGGCGGAGGTCCGGTTCATGCCCTCGGAGGTGATGGGGTCGTCGTCGTGGCAGATGGACTGCCAGCCGTCGTCGATGAGGACGAGGCCGGGGGGGCAGCCGCCGTCGACGAGGCCTTTGACGCCGGCCCAGACGCCGTGGGGTTGTACGGTCAGGTAGAAGGCGTCCCAGGTGCACCACCCGAACTTGTCGACAATCCCCGGCGGCGACTTCTCGTCGAGGAGGCGGAACGTGCCGAGGTGGTGGCGGGCGACTTTGATGGCGTCTTTGACGAGGGTGAACGGGTCGTCGCCGGCGTGGAGGTACAGCGCCGACCGGAAGGACGCCGCCGTGACCTTGGTGGAGCTGCTCTCGACGCAGACGTCGATGAAGTCGGCCGGGCCGGGCTGGAGGGAGGCCCGGAATGGGCCCTCGATGATGGGGAGGAAGACGACGTAGGGGCGGGCGCCGTCGCCGGAGTTTTCGAGGACGAGGATTTGGGTCTCGCGCTCGAGGTCGGAGCCGGTGGAGCCGGTCCAGTGGGTGGTCCACCAGACCTTGAACCGGAAAATGGACATGAACCGGATGCCGGTGAGTTTCCCGATGGAGACGACGTGGTGGCTGGCCGGCTCCTTGGCGTCGAAGCCGACGAAGCAGCCGGAGGAGACGGCGGCGGCGGTGACGTTGGCGGGGACGTCGGTGAGGAAGATTTGGCCGTTGGCGGTGAAGTTGGAGCCGTCGAGAGATATTGTAGGAGTGGCGACGGCGTCATCGCTCAAAACGGCGCCGTTTGAGGCCCCCTTGCTGAAACTTGGAGCCATAGCTATCGCAGCTGTAAGTTGCTGAGAAGTAAATATAAATATATATAAATATATAATATATGTATGTGTGTGTATGTAATTGGAAATGCAGAGGTAATAGTGGTGGTGAGGGAGGAGAGGGGTGAGTGGGGTTTATATAGTGCTACAATGGAATCTATTATGTAAAAAAGATGACATGTATCTTTCTTTGGTTAATGGTTACGATACAGAATCTTTTTATGGCTAAGCTTAATGTGGGAAGTTTTTACCGATGGAGTTTTAATTTAATTATATAAAGTAAAAAAAAAGGGGTTTTGATCTATATATGGATCCATGAGTTTCTGTTGATATGTGATGTAATAATAGTTGTGGATTTCATGTGCTAAATTTCATGAAACATTCCCGTGTCTTTATTCATTAATTGCACCGCTAGCTTGTTATGCCTTTGTGGCATCGATTTTATTTAAATAAAATAATAAATTTATTTATTTTATTTAACGCGTGGGAATCCGCAGCCGCTATGCGCACCGGGTAAATCTCTGGCCGGAGAGTTTGAATCCATGACCTTACGATCACAAATACATGTCTCTGTTTATATATGCATTTATCATTTATATAATTATCAGAGACCATCGTGTAACATTGAATTTTAAAATTCTAACGATATACTAATAACATGTGTTAACAATCCATGCGCATCATTTATATTAATATAAGATAAATATAATATATGAAATAACAATACACATATATTTTAAGTATGAATATATAGCAAATGTTTTTATTTCACTCAACTTGTACGGTGTAAAATAAAGACACGTATCAGTAGTATATTTTATTTGTGCTGATTTGAATATTGTTGATATTTTCAAATTAGCACGATAATCATTCACTTATTATTATTAAAAGATATTACATTTTTTTATTATTATTCAAAATATCATATAAATTATTCAAATTTTTTACACCCTCTTCCTCCTCCAACACTTTTAAAAATCAAAACTTCAGTTACAATGCAAATTGGTTATTTGAGAACTTAGTATGGATTATGTTTAATAAGAATATCTATCTCCAAAGTAGTTTGCAATAAAAATAGTTTTGGTGAGAGGAATGGCAAGTATGGAAAAAGGAATATTTGCATTATTAATAAATTAATCAAAAGTAGATTCTGAATCAACAGAATAAATGATGTTATGATGCATGAAGAACTAGTGTCTTTATTTATTTATTTATTCATTTATTTTAATCAGTATATATATATATATATAGTTGCAGTTGGCAGTTGCTAAGTGGTATGGAATCAATTTCTTCTTTCAATAATTGTATATATGTAGTAAAATTTATTCACAAAGATTCATTTTTAAGAAATATAAAGGTTTGTGGGATGCATTGCAGCATATATATATATAGATATGGCTAGAAATGAATCAATACTTTTCTTTATAATAAAAATGTAATAATAGCTACAAATTATATGCAGCCTTATATATATTGGTTAACATTTATTATTGCATACACAAAAGAAATTAAGAAGCATATATTAGGACTTGTTTTTATATATATATATATAAATTGAAAATATAAAATTAATTAAGCACACTGGGAAGTGCACAATCTCCATCCATTCCTTCTGCATGATTATAATTAGGTTCGGCAGGAGTTTATTCACCTTGCACTTATTGAATAGCAGCTTGCAGATTTTCATTTTATTCAAATATATATATATATATATTACTTGAAATTTAATCAATAAAAATAATTGGAAATATTTATATGTGTAGATGGGTGACTGCTTCGTAAGTAAGAAAGCATCCATCACTTTATACACATAGCACATACATATATTCATATGTAACTTTCTAAAAAATGAATTGAGAATCTTATCAAAATGAATTACATTGATTTATTTCGATTTTTTTTATTTTTCTTTAATTTTCCAAAATATTAAGACACGCACATATATATATATATATACATACATGATGTTGGGAATGATGAATATATATGATGAAAAAAAGTCCAAACCCTTTTAATCTTATCATTTCAACATTCCCACAAAAATCCAAATGTAATACCCAATAAAGTATTCTAATTCTCATTCCTCATTCCCATTCTTATATATATTTATTCACCCTTCACCTCATCATCATCATCTTCTCCTCTATTTTCTTCTCAATTATATGAGTGTATATATACATATAGTATATATGTATATGTATGTATATGTTCAATCTCTCTTTAGTATATATTCAAAGGATATACTACTATATATATATATAATGTTGGCCTTAAATTCGCTCAAAACCGAACATCAGCAATATCCTAACATAAAAAACACTCGCTCAAAACCGAACATCAGCAATATCCCAACATAAAAAACACGCACAACAGCAACAAACTTAAAAAGTCAACACCGAAAAATTTCTCAGCACAGATTAGTTGTTCGTTGGACGATCGAACTGCGAATGAACATTCTGGTGACGAAAAACATTAGAAACACAACGAAATGATAACCCAGTTTGGCTGCACCAGCCTACATCTGGGGGTTCCAACCCAGACAAAACTCAATGTTGAAAACATTAAAGCACAAGATGTGTGAATACAATTGAGCTACGCAATCTATCTACCAATTTCTTGACGATTTCTCGTACTCAACCTATCTCACACACCCCTCACCCTCAATTCTTTCTATATCTGCCCTAATCTATCTTTTCTCAACTCTATATACTATATAGAAGCTCTATATCCAAATTTAATAATATTCACTCTAACAAACTCAACAAGAATAGAATCTATTTTTCCACTATTTCTCCTTATATCCACAAAGGTTGTTACATCCAATATTTGTTATTTTTACACATGGATTGGGAGACCAACGAACTTTCTCGATCTGATCCATTCGTTTGAGTCATCATTGGATTGATCAATTTAGGTCATTTTCTTGTTTGATTAGGCTCAAGAGAAATTGAGTCTCGTCTGTCAATCACTATTCGTCTGTTGTTCGGACCATCTGCAAACAGCATCAACCAAAATCCAAAAACAAATACAATCTACGTTCAACATATAATACTACTATCTTAATTAACTCCACTTCACCTACATATTTACATACGACAGTATACTATTGATATATAACATTCAGTACCAAATTGAATAGCACACGATGAACTATAAAAAAATATATGATATTACTATAGAAAGTACATCATTTATATTAATATAATACATAAACTAAAGAGTCTATAACATATTTTTATAGACAAAAACTAAGAGTTCATAACATACTTTTACATAGCACACATCTTAAAAATATGAACAAATAGCACTAAGGATGAGAATCATATGGACTTTTAATATGTATTGTGTTGATTTTCCCAAATCAACAAGATAAACGAATTGTGGGTATTATATATATATATATATCAATAATTAGTGCAATTTTTTTTTTAAATGAAAAATTCGCAATCGCTATCCGAAAATGCGGCGCTGTGTGTGTTTGGTTTTACTTTGAATATTTGAGTGGATTAATTAATAATGATCGTACATATATATATATATCAAACAATATCAAACAATGAAGTAACATCGATCAGCCAAATGTTACTTACTAATTAGTGATATAGGCATCCCTTTGGTAATTGCTAGCTAGTCATATTATATAATCATATCATATCATAACAACAAAATCGATAATGATATTACTATTATCCCCTGTTGTTCTTTTCACCGTTAGATTATATTATATTAAAATAAATAAATAAAATAAGCAAGTAATGCTTGATTATGACAAGCGCAACCAATAATTACAAAAATAAATAGTAGAATATATATAATAATGCAAAGATGGAAAAGTTATTCTATAACAGTTATAATTATAATAATTATAATTATACTATGCATTTAGATTTTGAGCTGTTAACGATCCAATCCGAGCCGAGCCAAATTTTAAGTGTTCGTTAACATTCGCGAACAAGGCTCGTGTTCGTTCGTTAAACTTTCGAACTCGTTCGTAGTGTTCGAGCTCGGCTCATTAAGAATTTTTTTTGTTTGAGCTCGTGTTTGTGTTCGGCTCGTTTAGGCTCGATTAAACTCGTTCGAGTTCGTTCGAGCTTGTTTCTTTTATTTTTTTAAAATTTATATATAAATTATAAAGGAAATTTAAAATTATTTTATTTATATAATTTAAATTAATATTTTATTTATTTATAAATTATAATTTTATATGTATATATAATATTTATAATAAATATATATTATTTAAATGAACGTTCGTGAATAAAGCCCGGGTTCGTTCATTAACCAAACGAATCTGTTTACATTGTTCGACTTAGCTCGCTAACGTTCGCGAACGATTTTAACTAAATCAAATCGAACCGAATTCACGAACGGCTCACTTCGTTTAACAAGTCTTTATGTATTATACAAAAAGAATGAAAAGCGTTAAGAAGTAGTTGCTCTTTGATTGTGGAGCGTTGGATATATATATACATATGCACATTAGCCATTCCCACCAACCTACAACATAAATAAACCTCCAACACGTGGACGCTGCTCCGAAAGCCTTATTTAATTAAGTAATTATTAGACATGACAACAATAATAATCACATGATATTTTTATTTTTTATTTTTAAAATCATGTATTTTAATATTATAACTAAATATTGTACTCCCTCATGTAATATGGATGCATGATTGTAGACACGAAAATTTAGATAAAGTATAATTAGTAATTAATTAAGAAATATATTAATAAAAATAATTATTATTTAGTAAAAATAATTATAGATTAAAATTAAGATTAAGATAATTTAATTAAGATTAAAAAAATTAAATTTTAAATTTTAAAATATGATTAAAGTGTATAATTAATTTTTTTTTAAAAAAAGAACAAATTATGTAGAAACTGACGAAAATTAAAAATATGAACAAATTATATGGAAATGAGAGGACAATGAATTAGTTCCACAATTAAAATTAGAAATTGATAGAAAGGATCCTCGTACACTGAAATTCATGGCAGATAAATACCAAATTTAGCTATAATTTTAAAATAATCATCAGATAAATGTCCACGTGTAATCCGTACAATCCTTGACTTGCCACGTCACATTATATACCTAAGAATTATTTCTGCCAATTTTTATTTTTATTTTATTTTTTGAGAGACTAATACAATTAAACTGTAATTATGATTCTTACCAAAATTTTTGTAAACATAAAAGGGTCACGTATGGAATTAAAAAATAATAATAATAATAATTTTCAAGCAATCAACAACAATATTGGTGACGCTAATCAGTTCATTATGATTTCCAAAAATCCATATATTATATAGTATTATCATAAATGCTGCAAAAAATCAGCACCATCTTGGTTTTTGACATGAACACGTATTACAGTGAATTATATAGTACGCTAAAATCAATTGTAGTACAAGACTGTAGCATGTGGTGTTAGATCATATGTTGTATTTGTATTTATATCAATACTATAGCATGTGTTTTTTTTTTTTTTTTTTTTCATGTGATGTATTTGTATTATATTAATTATATACTTCAGCACTTTAGTCGCCGCCGGATATATAATTGTATTTGTCATTGTAAGGAATGGATGGAGGGGCAAATAATAAATAGTACTCGTTCGTCCGCCAAATTTATTCTTATTTTTCTTTTTAGTCCGTCCACTAAATTTATTCCATTACTAATTTTGACAAATTTAACAAATCAATCTTTAATTATTATCCTCCATTCAACACTTATTTACAATAAATACCACTAATTTTATTACATTTTCTCTTTTTTATTTACTTTATTTTTTAACTAATTTTTCAAAAATACCCTCAACTGACTATCACTTTTTCAATAAAATATTTATTTTTCTTTCATATTTTTCGTGCCAAGCCAAAGCCCAGACTACTGATAATGGACGGAGGGAGTAATTAATTGGAGGAGATTCTATAGCTTATCGGAAGGTGCAAATTAAATAAAAAAAAAAGGAAAAGAAATGAAAAGGGAAAAAGAGTAAATGAGAAAGGAAGTATATACTACAACTACTTTGTTAGAGGATACTCAACAAATGAATGAGATTCGCATTCAATAATAATAATAATAACAAACTTATTCTTGCAGCAACACGTACACTTGCATGCATGCACGCTTTGCTTGCTTGGTGGCGAAGCATTCCATTGTCAATTTTATTATTATTATTTTGCAATTTCAAAAATTCATGGACACCAGCAAACTAACTATACTACTATCTACTTATCTCTATGGATTCCATCTACACGAATATTTTATTTTATTTTATTTCAGTCCACCCACACCACCATCCAATATAATGTTATACATACCAATTGACCACAAAATCGAATTAATACCATTTGATAATGATACCTATTCGGGCAAAATTGCCCATTACTTCCATGTAGTTTCGAAACTCGGCGTAAATTTCTCTTCTACTTTAAAAATTGCATGACGTCCCCTTATACTTTAAAAAATATTGCATGAAACCACTTTATGGTTTCGAAACTCCACATAAATCCTCATTTTACTTTAAAAAATTGCATGACGCTCACTTATACTTTAAAAAATATTACATAAAACCACATGTCATGCAAAACATATAGATAGGAAATCATCTTCTTATCACACGACGAAAGTTTCGTGGTGGTGGAGTTTCATGCAACGTTTTTTAAATTATAAGGGAATACCATGCAATTTTTAAAGTACAGAGAGATTTTACGCTGGATTTCGAAACCACAGGGAGTTATAAGCAATTTTACCTACCTATTGGTCACCACACCCCTCAAGAATCATCTCATTCATCTTACAACTTACTACTTCATTTCACTATAACATAAGGATCAAAGGATTGTTTGAGTTGTTCTAATTTTGTAACTTCAAAAAAAAGTAAAAAATTAAGAGAATTAGAATCTTTTTCTAGGATATGCTAAAAGCCATCATCTCATTGTTAATCTAAGCAGGAAAGAAGCGCTAGAAAATCAAGAATAATATATAATACAATATTAATGACAAAAAGGTGAAGCATATCATGATCCTTCTAGTTCTACTACTATAATAATTTTGGATTATTAACTGCCATAACTATATATGCATTATATAACGATGCACACAGATGCCATTACTTTTTATATATATATTGTATGACTTTCTACTTTACCCGTGGAATGAAATCTCTCACAAATTCAGATATTCTGCAGGTCAGTAGATGATTCGATGTTCCTCCCCAATTATTAGCTAACTATGCTGTATCCGATTGATCTTTGCTTGAAATTTCCAAAGCAGACTGCAACCACAGATAAAAGTAGAATGAATGTGATACCAAATGGAAAATAACAAAAAAGATGAAAATGGTAACAGAATGAACTGATTCACCGTGTTAAGAAGCCGCAGGGCAGCAGGACGAGTAAATTTCCTCGCAAAAAGGAAGCATTTAGAGGGTTTACCCTTGCTAGTGCACCATTCTCTTCTGTACTCCGTTTCGAAGTAGATGTTATCTATATCCTGTGTGCGCAAGTAAGCATATTCACATATAATATATAAACCTTTTAACTCTATTTCTGGTAGAATTTGAGTGATAATAGCTTCGGGAAATGATTATGGTCACGTTTAGTTTCTTGAGAGTGAATAAGGTAAATATATATAGTTGTATATGATCTTCCCACCATGATGGTGACTTCTCCTAATGAAATGATTCAAAGTATAGCTTCGACACAAATTGCAGTGTATATTCTAAAGTATGCCATCAGAAATATCAGAATGTAGAGATAGTTTGAAAATCTAGATCGGAAAAATGAGTACCTTGATGGATTTGATGAGTGCAGGTGTAGCATCAGCCAACTTGTAAGTTGCGGGATGCCATCCTTTCCTTTTAGGATCTCTGGAAGATGAGAGATCCCACGAGCTGTGAGTGAGGGACCTTCTAGTAATTTCGCCTTCCACGCCTTTTTGCTGAGTGTACAAAGACAGTCAGTAGACATTGTTAATATCATGATGGATAGGATATATTGGTTGAATGAAAATGTGCTCAGGCAGGCTTAAGAAGAATTGTGTACATACTGCCAGCAATGTCTGGACATAATGTTCGTCTGGTATACAGTTATGTTCCTTCGATGTATCGGCCGGCTACAAATAAGAGAAAATACACAAATATAGTAAATCAAGGTCATGGCAATATATATATATATCATAGGAAAGGAGGAAAAAAGGAGAAAGAACACTTACTATTGGACGGTCGCGCCAAAATTCAGGTAGAGATTTTCTCTGTTTCAGGGAGAAGGGGAAAGTTTTACCACAGTATTAAAATAAATGATGCTTGGAAAAGATACACATATGATACGAAAACACAGCCACACATGCATATATGGCGTCATCTCTTTCATATGCATTCTTGCATGAATTATAACAGAAATGAGTGTACTTCACGTTAAGCATAGCATGTCAAACGCCTAAGTTCATCAGCTTAGGATGTTGAAAACTCATAATTAAGGGTAGGTGTTTGGACTCATGACCAAAGTAGAATCACAATGTGTCATTTCATCATTGAAGAAATTAGAGGCACCCACCGGAATATCACATGTGTTCTTTTATCAAACTTCACCAAATTTTTATAATTTTTTTTTCCCCCAAAAACATCAAATCAAACACTTATTTTTTATTTTCATTTTCTAGATTATACTATATCAATTTTACATTAAAAATATCACATCAATACATTCTTATATCACATCGTACAACTATTCCAACATAAATTTTTTACTATTTAAATCCCAAACTAAAATCCAAACCCCCAAACAAATACACTCGAATTTAGCATCAGAATAAAGCCATAAACATAAAGTGTAGCACCTTCCACATACAAGCAATAGAAACACTTGCATTAACAAGGCTGTCACACCGCCGGGGGGGGGGGGGGGGGTGTGAGAATTTACTAAGGCAGAGTGTTACATCACCATAATTACAGCAAGAAGTAGAAAGTAAGTTATAGGCACTTGCCTTGCAATGCAACTGAAACATAGGAAAGACAGATTCATCCTCAACTACAATCCTTGCATGCTTTCTAGTCAGAACAACCCACTGCACGTAGACAATAAAAACAGGGAAGATTTTATTTCTTTGTTCTGTTCTCGTTTTCATATTTTCATCTGTGGGTGAAAAGACATTGTCCAAACTAGTCCAAACCAGGGAATAGCAAGAGAAAGAGTTACCTGAGATCCTTTCCTCCAGTTCTCAACTGGAATCGTTGGGTGCATTCTTGGATTGTAACGACTTTCTTTCTTATCAGCAAAGCTTTTGGCACAAATAGACCAAGAAGTTTCCATGAGCTAAATAGATACTACACAAGTATGTAAACATTCCTAGCAGTTTTAGTTTTCTTTATTAAATCAAACACTTATTTTCATTTTTTATATTATACTAAAAATCAATTCTACATTCAAAATATCACATAAGACATCATACAGCTATTCTAATTCAATTTTTTTACTATTAAAATCTCAACCCAAAATCTAAAACCCCAAACAAACACACCCTAGTTTTCGAACGTCAGGGACTGCTATAGGGTAACAATGAAGCCTCCAATACCTGTCCACGAAGCTACTTGAGGTAGACATTATGTAGTCATATGTGTAGCTGAAATTATACAAAGGTATGCAACTGCAAATAGGGAAAAACAATAAAAAAGCACATCAATCACAAATATTATAAATGAACAGAAAATGCAGGAAATAAAAAAACCAGTATATATTAATCTTAGATAAAAGGTAAGAAGTCAAGGGGGATCTTAAAACTCTCGAACCACTGAAACAAATGCTTACCTGTCTGAGACAAAAACAAACCGACTGTTAAAAGGATCCATCAGTGCATGCTGAAGCAAAATGCGCTCTGCTTTGATCATGCTTGCTTCTCCCCATTCTACCTAATAAAGGAACACTTGCCAGTGATTACTTGAAGAAATGACAAGAATGGTTAGGTTTTAATGTTCTGACATAAAGTAACAGGTGGAAGCAATGCAAATATCATATTATGAGGAAAATACACTGCCTCCTTTTCATTTTAAGTTAATTGTATAACACTTAACAATATAGTAGTACAAGTTTTGATACTTTAGAACAAAACAGGTGCAATCTAAGCCAAAAAAATTTCACCTGTATGCTATTGTTTATCTGACAGTTTAAGAAAAATTCTGATCTTGTTGTTGCTTGGGTCAGCAAGAACCCAGGCCTTGAATGGACATAGATAGAAAATCTGTTCTCAGTATCGCCCTGAAAAACAACACAATGGTTCAGTTGATACATGAAAAGATCCCTAGAAAATGATTCACAGAAATCCACCTGCAGGGTCTGAAAAAATAGTGCTACAAAGTTTCAATTCAAAATTTTATTATTCAAATCAAAACCCTCAAACAAAACACTGATGGACAACTGGCAAAACTAGAAAGGACAATCTAACACTTTATTTAGATCTCTGAATGTTATAATGAATTCACCAAATAGATTCATGAGAAAGGTCAACTTAGATTAAATTCATGAAGAACTTGCTAATGAATCGAACCCATCAATGCCAGAATCAGTTAAAAGAAAATGGCAAATAAATGGTCCCCAGAAAACAGCCAGTTTCCATGTCGGGTTCATACTGGGAAAAGAAAATTCTAAAGAGTAATACAATGACAACACGAACCAATCAATGCATCAATGATATTCGTGTTGAAGTTGACAATTAGCTGGCCTTCTATATAAAACTGGTTTTGCAAGCTCGGTGGAAATGCAAGAATACAATAGAGATATTTAATTATATACTTCACTATCCAGGAAAAAGTAAAAGCAACTTAAATATTGTATTGCAAGTGTTAACTAACAATAAGATTAATTAATATGCAACGGCAACATAAAAGGAAATTGATCAATTTTTTCTATCACGCAAACAGATGCCCAAGATCAAACCAAAAATAGCAAAGTGACATTTAATGCAATAAGTGAAGTTAAATCGGTTTCCAAAATTGCCATAGCAACAAAATTTTAGAAAGATAGACCAAGCAGTTACCTGGAAAAATACATCCCACACCATATCTAGTGGAATCCGATTCCGAGCAATAAAAAGAAAAGCAATTTTCGGCTTTAGCAAAGGAGGAGATATTAACATCAATGTTCTGACTCTACTGTACTGCGATTCCATCAATCCGATGGTTGCTAGACAAAATACAAGTAAAACCACAGCGAGAAATTTTCTCCTCCATGAAAGGTGAAATTTCTGAGAATTCGACCTCCGCTTCATCCGCACTAGAAATAATCCAACCCAATGCCTTCAAGCATCTCAAAACCACTACATTCTACAATAACATATCCACAGTGCATTTCCGTTCACCAACGTCGATCACACGGCGCTTTTTCACCCACACACATGGCAGCTGCTCTAGTTCCACTCGATCTACGCCCAAATTCACTCCCAAAGACCTCCAAACACACGGAAAAAACTCCAAAACTCGCCCAAACCACTACAATCTCCCCAAGTCATCTCCAGTTACCACACATAAACAACATCCGCTCGCACAAAAATCGATGACCATCTCCGAAACGCACATCCGAAAGCTCGATCAACCTCCAAACCACGCAAACCAAAACTCCTCCGCACCATCCAGAGACCAGAAGAGAAGAAGACTTGGCTTGGAGAGTGAGAAAGTATGAATGGAAAGGAAGCAACAAGATTGTGTGCGGTGTCGGCTTTTAATAGCACACCGCACCTCCCTTGCGTTGCGTACCCTTTAAATGTCGCTCCTTTAAATGCGAACCCGAACCCGAACCCTAACCCGACCCGAGTGGAATGATTATTCTAATTATCATAGGCGCATGTGATGTGTGCCCGTTGCCCCGTTGATCGACCTGTCCTCTGCAGGCTTTTTTGGTTTTATATATATTTATTTATTTATTGGGATACCAAATATAAAGCATGTGTCTAATTCCCACAAGGCTAGATGAGATGTTGCATCAAGCACTAGATTTAGATGTGCAATACTACCATATTAGTTAGAAAAGAAATTTTTAATTATTCGTTAGCAACCAACTTGTGACGATTCTTTATTTCTCAATCCCCAATGCAAATAAAGTGAAAAATAAAATACAAAATAAATTAGGGCTAGTGAACAACTTAAATTGGGCCTTGAAGTGTTTTCTACTAATTGGGCCGCATGTGGAGGCTCAATAAATATATTCGGCCCAATATAACGGAAAAGTTTATTTTTATTTTTTTAGATAATTAAAGCTGAGAAAGGAAAAGGGTGGAGGGACTGCAGAAGAAGCTGCTGCCGGGAATGGAGTCGTCGCCGTCATCGTCGCTGAACGTGGGAAATAGGTGAGTGATTTCGCCTTCTTCAGTGAAATTCGTCTTTGCTATACTGTTTGGTTTTTGTATCTGTTTCGAGGAACTCAAGGTTGCTTCTTTTTTGGGGTTTGGTAATTGGGAAACTATGAGAGGGTAATTGCAAGGTCGAATTTATTTTCTCCGAAAAGTGGACGAGGAATTGTGAGAGTCTCTGGTCGGTCAGTTCATGAGTTTGTGAAATTGAGAACCGAATATTTACCTTCGAGGTTGCGTGTGTCCACTGCAAATGGCGGTGGCTTCAGGACGGAGGGACGAAAAGGCGTCGTTGGCGAAGGTGATGGTGTCATTATTGTTGACCATGGTTCGCGTCGCAAGGAGTCCAACCTTATGTTGAGTAAGCAGTTCATTTTCATGATTTATCAGTTTTTTTCACTATCGATTCGTAGTTTGCGAATCGAATACTTTGCTAGTTAAACTATTGTGGTGGTTTTGTTACCAATTGTTCAGCTGTGCTAGAAATTCAGCGTATTAATTTTAAACTGTCATGTATTCTTCTCGATTTTGTATTCTACGCCTAGATTTCGACCATTATTATACTCGCAGTAAATCATTTCAACTGAGTAGCTTTTTTATGCATTCGATGATTCACAGACTGCACGATTGATCAATGAACTATTTCTAAAAAAGCATGTTGTGATTTAGAGGATAATATGCAATTTGTAATGGTGGTTACTGTAATTTCAGTGCATATGCTGATACAATATTTACTGTGATGTTTACTTGTTCAGATGAGTTTGTGGCTATGTTCAAAGAAAAAACTCAATATCCGATCGTCGAGCCAGCTCATATGGTATTAATCCCATGTTTTACATCTATTATTCAATGCAAATTTATAGATTTTTCATTAAGGATCTGACTTAAAGATGCTTTATTCCATGTGATATCTTCCTTTTGCAATTAGGAACTGGCTGAGCCATCCATCAAGGATGCTTTCACTGCATGCATTCAACAAGGAGCACGCCGAGTTATTGTGAGCCCTTTTTTCTTGTTTCCTGGAAGACATTGGCACCAGGTGATTCCATAGCAGATAATGTAGATCGTAATTTTGAACACCCCAATTAAATGATTATGTTGCTTGGATGCCGATGTGCTTGACTATTTGCAATTTACAGGATATTCCTTCTCTAACTGCCGAAGCTGCAAAAGAGCATCCAGGGGCGTCATATGTGATTACTGCCCCTCTTGGTCTGCACGAACTGCTCGTGGTATAATAATATCATCCTATATCCGGTTTTAGGTTTTAATCATGATCCCTAAGCGGAAAAATGAATTTAGGTAGCAATTTATTGCAGGATGTGGTGAACGACAGAATTAGTTATTGCTTGAGCCATGTTGCTGGCGAGGAGGATGAGTGTTCTGTATGCGCTGGAACAGGAAAATGTCGAGTCTATAGTTAGTCCGTTAAGCTTACCCGTCTGAAAGTCATGTTGGATATTGGCATCGGTGAATTTTCAAAATTTCAAAATTTGCAATGCACATTTTATGCGTAGTGTTGCAGTTGTTAAAATTGTTTCATGTCTTTCTGATCTCAACCCTTTGCTCATATCTTTGTTGTGAGTAAATTAAACTTCGAAATTGACACGCAACTGTCTGATGTCCCAGGACACAGAATGATGATGTTTTGAATAGAACAGAGAGATTCCAAGGATGATCATGTGGAGTGATTGTTCTTGTCGTCGACTATCGTCTGGTCCATCTTGCCAACTGTCGGGCGGGCAATCGCAGCACACGTGGTCCCATACACAGTTTGAGTCACACGTACACACACTCGCAAGATGCTGTGTCGCATCGCAATTTATTGTTACGGCTTCGACTGAAAGGTTGACAATGTTTCAGAGATGCAGCCAGAAAGTTACTAAACACAACATGTTGGAGATACAATGCAAATGGGGTCAGGACAACCACCCTCTTCCTTATTTCAACTACTTCTTGTAGGAAAAAAAACTTGCCTATAATTCACCATTTTGCCTAAGCTAACTTAACTGTAATGAAAATTATGCTATGGTCTACACTATTATGACAAATTTCTGTTCTTGCAAAACTTACCTGGAACTTTGAAGCTCATTGCCAAATAGAACTGCTGTACCCTAAGGATTGTAAAAGAATTTGATGTTTTTTTCTTTAACCTCTGTGGAGGAAGTGAAGTAGGATTTCCGGAAGAAACGAGGGTCTTCAGTCTTGTACTAGCACGTTAATGTTATCTACTTCATTCGGAGATGGTCGTCGGAGCTCTGATTGCTGAAAGACTCGGTGGAAGTGTATGATGCTTGAGCTTTTGTTGCCTGACCTGACATCAAACTGTTTAGGCTGTAGGAGGATCTAGTGGAGCAGGCTGAGATGGAGCTGGTGTTCAAAAATGGAGGCTGGTTTGGCTCTGGGATTTTGCGGTTTTCGTCTGTAAGCATCTGCACAACATCCACCATTGATGGCCTCTGTGTGGCAGATGCCTGTGCGCATAGCAGCCCGATTGTCAGGACTTTGGATGCTTCTTTGGCTGGATAGGCATCTGCTAAACATGGATCTACTGATTCTGTTAATTTGTTAGTCTTGTAAAGCTTCCATACCTGGTTCCATAAAGACTGGATGAATATACAGTTTATGTATAGTGGGGAATGTATACAAATGGTGTGAAAATGGTTAATTACTGTTTGTAGAAGAGATCCGGATTCCTCGACAAAAGCATTGCTCTTTCTACCACAGATGATTTCGAGAACCAGCACGCCAAAACTATAAACATCAGCCTTCTCGGTGAGTTGCCCTTTTATGAGGTACTCGGGGGCCATGTATCCTCTGCAAACCAACAATCATGTGTTAGTTTATAATAATAGACAAATCTATTGCAACATGTTTATGATATTGAAGGGAATCAGTGTGCTACAATGTGCCTGCAATCCCTGTGCTGAGATGAGTTTTATCAGCTGCAAAACATCGTGCTAGGCCAAAATCTGCGATCTTGGGGTCGAGATTCTCATCAAGAAGTACATTGCTGCTCTTGATGTCCCTGTGGATTATTCTGAGTTCCAAGCCTTCGTGAAGGAATGAAAGCCCTTCAGCTATTCCAACAATAATGTTGTAACGCTCCTTCCAACTCAGAACTTTTACTTTGTTCTTTTCTGTAGTTGGATCAGACAGCATATCATCATATAAGATTTTGGTAATGTTCTTATCTATATTAGTGAAGGGAGGAAGAGACTTACCGAACAGGTAATGTTCAAGGCTCTTGTTGGGGACAAATTCATAAACTAGAAGACTTTCAGGGCCTTCAATGCTACAGCCAAGAAGCTTGACAAGGCTCTTGTGCTCAATTCCGCTGATAAGATTGACCTCGTTGAAGAACTCGTCGACCCACTGCCGGGTGCTGAAGAACAATCTCTTCACAGCCACGGTTTTCCCACTCGGTAAGGTTCCCCTGTAAACAGAACCTGCTCCTCCTTGGCCTACTTTCCTTTCGGGATTGAAATAATTGGTTGCCTTCTCCAGCACTTCGTATTTGAAATTCAAACCGGACTTGTTGTAGGAATATGAAATCTGGCCTAGATTGTTGCGTTCTGCACAGAATGCAAGTTGAATGATGCGAGAAATCGTAACTTCAAGGTATCTTGCAAGAATCATTTCAGTTAATAATACCTTGCTTCTGTTTTTTCCATCTTCTGAAAGCAGCGTAAGAGGAAAAGAGACAGAGCATGACGAAGGCTATCATGGCCAGAACAACTGCGATTAATTCTCCTCTTCGAAAGACCCCTGGAAGAATAATAACCAGCAATTAGGGCACAGAGAATACACAGTGTGGTGATTCTGATCGTACTTAAGGAAGAAGGAAGGTAGTTCGTGAAACGTAGTGGGAATTTATGGAGTGATTTGGCTTAAAACTCACCAGAATTTGAGTTTCCTTCCAGAGATTGATTTGAGAAAAATTTCAATGTCGAATACCTCACATAGCAGCCAGTATACAGCGCTCTGCCTTCTCTCCCAGGCAAACATCCGGTAATCTCTCTTCTCGCCTTTGCGAAACACGCTCTACAGCCTTCCTTGGTCAGAGTATTCCAACACTGCGCCAATCCAAACACGCCTTTACCCTCCCGAACGGCATAACCGCCATTCACCACTGCGCTCGTGGTCACATTACGGAGCAGCTCCCCGACATTCTTCCTGAAATCGGAATCCATACCACCAGCTTCGTCACCGACCGTGGAGCTGCAATTCACCTTATCGGTAACTGAATCCACGCTCTCCTTGAAAAAACTGTGGTTATCGTAGCGCAGGAAGCAACCGTCGAAGTAAATGCGGCCGGAGACCGAGGGAAGGCAGCGCGGGAGGCGCGTGCGGCTCGCGGCGTAGCACTGGAGGCAGTCGTTGTGACGCAAATAACCGTAGCACTGCGCCAGAGTGTATATCGAAACCTTACTCGAATGTACGGCGTTCTGGCCACTTCCGTTGGCCGTGACTCGCTGCGAAAGGCCTTCCATCAACGTGACAAACATAGGGATAAAAGTGGTGTTCGGCGGCGGCAGAGACTTGCCGCAGAACAAACCAGCTTCGTAAATCGTCGATTCGGCAACGGAAAACAGCAACATTCGAGCCGCGACAAAAATCACGACGGCGATCATCCATCGTCGGCGGCGCAAACTCGGTACCAAACAATTCATTAATAAAAACTCCTGCAATTGATTAGATACACCAATACGCAACTGCAGCGGCATTCGAAGCCGTTGAAGCAAGATCGCGACGGAAAAACGGCAAGCAACTGGTAGCTTAAATGGAAATCAGATTGGTGGAGCTAACAGAAACGAACCGTGAGGACGCCGGACGAAGAAGAACACTTCCTCCTCCTCCTCGTCGGATTTCTTCTTCTCACTGTAAAGCTAAGCTTCATTATTAATTATACCAAGTAATGCTACTGCATCCACAATTACGAACATCAACCAATCTACACTGTTGACACCTCATCAACTGAAAAATGGACGGCGGGAGATTAACCCTTTGTAACTGCATTTACCACTAATTAATCTAAAGTAACACTGGAGTACTTTATTACTAGCCTAAATTTTACAAAATTGACTTTTTAAAACTGTTAGCTATACTTTTCATAAATTTTGTGTCTAACTCTGGTCTTATTTAACTGTAGTGACGATAAATTTTAAAAACTCAATTTCTAAACCTCTAAAATTACAAATATATTTATTTTTTTTATATTTAGCCTCAAAAAATAGTAAATATACTAAAAATAGTTATTTTTCTTTAAGTTATAAAAGTTTATTTTTACAATTTTTTAAAACTAAATATATATATTTATAATTTTTTAAATATTTAGAAATATAAATATATAATTCGTGAATTCTGTACACTTTAGCGTAATTATTATGATGTCGGTCCCGTTACAAATGCATATAGTAAAGAAATGACATTAAATGAAATATTTTAAATAAAATTGCAATATAGATTTTATTTTTTTTTACCTTTATGGAATAAATAATGAATATATATATATATATATATAATACAGATTTATAAAATCTGGAAAAATGAATGGGGAAGCATGACTAGGTAGCAAAACAAAAGTTCAATAATTGTTTTGTGTTGCTACAATGTCAAAGTTGGGTAATCTTCAAACCTACTTGCCTTGTCTTCCTCTTTATTATTATTGTCTTTTCAAACTATAATTAAATAATATATATATATATATATATTTTAAATCATGATTATTTCACAGCTAGGAAATTACAGAAAAGTCGTGGCACATGAATTGCGCGTTCCCAAAATATTGGATAAATTAGGAATACATAATTAAAACAGCAGTTGGACCCAATATAGATATATATAATTAGGGTATGTGGTTGCAACTAATTAAATGAATGAGTTCAAATTTGAAATTGATGTAACATGAAATCTATTAATGCAAATAAATAAAAATGCTATGCAACGAAATAAAGTCCATAAACCTTATAATTATTTCATTTTCAATATTAATATATATATATAGCATTAAGATAAATAAATATACTTCAATATAATACATATATTCTTTTCGTTAAGCTTTTTTTTTTTTTTTTATTGTCATTACAGTATTTGTTTTTTTAGCCAAAAAAAAAAATATTATTTTTACTTTTTAATTATAAAAAATAAAAAATTATTATTATTACTCATTTTTATTAACATTTGTGTTTAAATATTTGACTCTGCAAATTATCATGAGAATATTATTTGACAACATCATTATGAAAATGTTTTCTAAAAATATTTTCATAAGTGTTATGAATAATATAAATATATATATATATATATACAATGTACATTTACTTTAACGGATTATATTATTAATAAGTATTAGTATTATTTAAGAATTTGTGGATGGGTGTTAAAATATATTTAGAAGCTATATATTATATTTACGGTAGTTGTCTTATTTAAAAGTTTTATGGGATTCTTGTATTATTTAGACGATTTATATATCACTATAAATATGTACGTATTCTTATGATTGAAATAGAGAATTTTAGTTTATATTCTAGCATGGTATCAAAACCAAATTCTCTCCCGGTACCTCAATAACTTGTTATATCCCGTATATATTTTTATATTTTATTAATGTATTTGCTTCTATCCAGGATCATGTTATTATTTTCATGTCGTCTCCATCTACTTTCGATTCTAACGTCGTTGAGAGTCCTGTTTTTTACTCTAACTCTATTGAGAGCGGGAGAGTCATGTTTCCGACTCTAGCCCTATAGAGTGAGCGAGTCATGTTTTCAGTTTTAGTTCCGTTGTGAGCGAGCGAGTCCTGTTTCCAATTCTAACGGTGTTGAGAGTTCTGCTTTTGACTCTAATTCAGTGGACGGCTACACCACTTTCAGACAATCTTGGTCAATTCAAATTCGTACGTGGAAAATCTCGGCTATATCTTTTTCGGTCACTTCACAAACTCAAGTTTGTTCCATCATATCTTGAGTTTGAGGAGGGGTGTTAAAATATATTTAGAAGCAATATATTATATTTATGTTAGTTATCTTATTTAAGAGTTTCATGGGATTCTTGTCTTATGTAAACGATTTATATATCACTATAAATATGTACGTATTCTTACGATTGAAATAGAAATTTTCAATTTCATATTTTAACACTAGGGTCAACTGATTTTATTTTCTCATAACTAGACTATTTTATCATTTTAATCTTGAAATTGGAGTTTGTCTCAAACTAATCGCATAAGTAAAAAAATTTTTCGCATTTTTAGTCCTCTGACACCGAAGATGTCTATGCGTTACCCGCGTAGCTCGTTGGAGGACACGTGTCCGTCATGTCAGCGACCTGACGGACACGTGGATTTTTTTATTTTTTTATTTTAAAGAAAAATTAATTTATTTACTTTGTCTTTTTTGTTAAAAAAAGAATATATATATATTTTTTTAAAAAATTTAAAATTAAAAATTTTAAAATAATTAAAAATAATAATACACGTGTTGCCAAGTGTCGCTGACTTGGCGGACACGTGTCCTACGGCGAGCCATGCGGGTGTTATGTAGGCATCTCCGGTGCCGGAGGACTAGAATTAAAAAAAAAAAATTACTTATGGGCTAGTTTGTTATATGTTCCAGATACAAGACTAAAATGATAAAGATGTCAGCATGACTAAAAAATCAATTTATCCTAAATTTTAATATAAATATTACTTGATAAATTAATTATATCCATGTATGTATGATTAATTATTCTTAATTAGTATATTAGTATAGCGGGCTTTAATCGATCCTGGATTTTAATTCATTATAATAAACATATGGTTAAATGTGATAAAATATTATTATACACTCTAATAATCCAAAATAACTGACATCCATAGCATATTGAAATATATTAAAGCTCATTTGGATTGAGATGTAATAGAGTTGAAAGTGCTTTAAAATTGTTAAATTACACCAAAGACATTTTATTAATATAATTGTAATTTTTTATAAAACTTTTATAATTTATTTTTAATTTTTATTAATTATATTATAGATTTCAAATTAAAATATAAAAAAATTGTTATTTATATTTTAAAATTTTAATTTAAAGATAATGTATAAATTATAAATAAAATTACAATCTATTTTTAAATGATTTATATTTTGCAACTTATTTTAAAATTATATAAATTAATAATTTTAGTATAATTAAAAAATTTATATACTCTTATTTAAATTTGATATCTCAATTATAATTTTAAATTTTAATTTAATTATAGTATATAAATTAAAAATAATAATATAATTATATTTTAAAATTTTTATTAAATATAATATATAAGTTAATTATTTTTATATTATACTATTATATTATTATTATTATTATTATATTGTTAAAAAAATAATTTTAATTTAAAATTGCTTTTACTTATTTCAATTTCAAAAGTATTTTTAGACTGAAATTAATGCAAACATGTATAAAATATTTTTTTAGAAATATTATGGTCATCCTTGAATATTATTAAATCTTAATCAAATCCAACCACAATTTATCCAACATATAATTAATAAATAAAAAAATAATTAACCATCACCTTCCCTCTTAAAATCACACATTATTCCAATATATAAACATATAAAATATTAAAAATCTAAAAATTTTCAAAAATAAAATTTCGCCTACACACCTTAGTTGTCCAGTTTACAGACAAATTTATAAAGATTATAATATGTAAATAATTATTGAATAATATAAATAATTATATATTAAAATTAAAATAATTAATTAATTTAATTAATATAAAATTTTATTAAAATGTATAAATATTATAAATAACAAATTATGTAGAGTGAACCAAAATAAAAATATAAACAATTTATGTGGAATGAGAAGTAATTGAAATGATATATATACATGCACAAAATAATACGGTGTGTTTGGTTTGTGTTTTATAAGTCTTGATATTATATATTTCATTCGTTCCAATATAATAGTGTTGTTTACCATTTTTGTCCGTCCCAAAGCAATAGTCTTATTTCCATAAATAACCCTATCACCATAAAACTACTCATACTTTTTCATTTTTATTACATAATTGCCACTATTTTTTTACTAATACACTCACAAAGGCAAAAAAGTCTTTTTATCCATACTTTTTATCCACTACCAATATAATATCAATATTTCTTAAATCTAGTTTCCAACTCAATTAAAACTATATTTATGGGACCGGGGGGAGTATAATCAATATATTTTTATTAATACCAAAAAATCTACTCCCTCTGTCACATTGAGAGATTGTCATTTTCTATTTTCGTCCGTCCCAAAACAAGGTTACAATTTTCTAATTTAGTAATTGTACTACATGCATAACATAATAAATACCCTTTCAACTTACACTATATTACACAAATGTCATTACTTTTATATTATACAATATTAATAGAGGTATTTTTGTCTTTTTCACAACAATCCATTATAATACTAATATTTAAAATTTTATTGTGTAAAAAATAAACAACAACCTTGTTCTGGAACGGAGGAAGTATATAATATTGAGAGTAATGAAAAAAGTAAATAAATAAATAAATAACAAGATTTTGGAAACATCGTACATTGGTGAATTATGGTGTGTTTTCCTCCCTTGATGGACGGCGATCATAACATATCCTAAGTAGGAATAATTTAAAAAGTTGATTAGCATACGAGAAAAGTCATCCAAAATTATATAACAAAATGAATTGAAAACTTCTGTCCTTTTCACGTCAACCTCGTGTGTCTTTGTTTTCTAACCCTAAATAAATACTCTCGAGTCCCACATAATTTGTTTCTATTTTTTATTTTCGTCAGTTCCACATAATTTGTCCTTTTATTTTTTGGAAAATTAATTATACACTTTAATTATATTTTAAAATTTTAAATTTAAATTTTTTTAATCTTAATTAAA